CCTTAGAAATTAAATTTGTAGAAAAAAATTTCAATTAACTGGAATATTTTGTACTTACATGATAAAATTCTTTGATTTTTTGTGAAAATAGAATAATGATTAAGTTGAGAGGTTTTAAATAATTAACATTTTAATATTGAAAATCTGAAACTTGGAATATTGTTTTTTTCCAAATTTGGTTTTTAGGGTCTCACTAACATGCGCGAAAAAAATTTAACAATATTAAAACATCAAATTGAAGTCTATACAGGCTGTTGCACATAATTTTACGAGGCCTGCGCCTGTAAGATGCAATCAATAATACATATTCCGATACGAACTCGATTACAAATTTAGAAAAATTGATAATCTTCTCTAGTTTGTTCACCCTTTCAAAAATTGCAAAGTTTTTAGTTAATTAGTGATTAAGATAGATAAACTAGAATCATATTCATGCGGTCTCTTGATAGGACAAATGATAATTGTTTCTGAAAAACTGCAGTTTATGACTATTAATGAAACAGTGATTAGTTTGACAACTACTGTCATGGGTTTCCAAAAATTAAATAATTAAATGTGAATTTTTTGTATTTAGTGTTTTGTGACTTTTGTATATTTGGGTGCGTACATTAGGCGCAAGCCTCGTAAAGTTATGTGAAACACCCTGTATAATCTTCTATCGACACCTGTACAAAAAAATGTAGGCTTTCAGACTCCGAAAAAAACTTTACAGTAAATAAAGTCCAATGCTGGAAGAAATTAACGCACAAATGTATCTATTTAATATTCAAAAATTCTATTTAGTATTCAAAAATAAACATTTTTTTTTCGGCAAAATGCTATTCGACGGCATCTCGGTGGTGAAAATAGTAAACGCATAGACTTGTAATGTGTTGACAAATCGAAAGTAAAATTAATCGAAGAACAGTCTTCGGCCAAAAAGTTTTGTACGTTATTTGTGCGTTAGGTATTTTATAGCGTCCAGTTTTATTAAAGCTCTCAGCTTCGCTTCGAGGTTCAATATTAAAAACTTTACGCTCGTACCTATAATGTAAATAACTATTTCGTTTCGGAATTGAATATCGCGTAAATCCCCGATACAAATTGGCAAAATTTGTAATCCCCCCATTTGCGAGAATTATAGCCGAGATTTGATTGCAAAGCAAAGTGGAAAAGCTGTTCGTGAACTGTGTGCACTTTCCCTCGAATTTCATCATAAATAAATTTTGATGAAAAATGTTGTGCGGAAGTAGCGACTTGTCAGTGACTATTTATCACTGCCTGAAATTTCATGCAAATAACACCAAGAACATTTTCTCGCCTTTTTTCATGTGAAATCAGATACAATGTCTTTTGTGTGGAACGCAGGTGCATTTTTCCTTCTACCTCTCACAATAGACCATTTACCATTTTTGTCGGTGTAGTCGGTAGTTGCATCCTCGAACCTGGCTCGTAATTCTCCAGATATAAACCCCACCTGAAACATGAAAATCTTAACGGCAACAAAGCTTTCGTTCTTTCTTTCTCTCTCATCATCGATTCCATGGATGGGTTCGTCTAAGGTTCACCTCGTAAACGAGGTGCCATAAAGAAAGCCACATCGGCTGAATTTACTTTTATTAGAAGTCGCAAGGGGGATGAACTTACATGAAGGCCGACTCACTTACATGCTGTAGAACGAAGAGAGGGTAGATAGGGCGGAATTTGCATGCGTTACGGCATTTTCGAGGCGATGAGTGTGTTTAGCAAGTGTGTGAATAGAAAACTCGCAGAAATGAATCCAATGATTGATATCACGGGCGCCGACCTACCTATTGAAATTTTTTAATATGTGCCGGAAACCCATTGAAAATAATGTACTCTTGCTTATAAGGTAAAAATAATAATAACTCTTAATAATATTTGGAATTTCGTATTTGTTCTAATCTTTTTTTAGTAACGTTGTATTCTTTAAAATCATTTTAATGTCAAAGATGATCTAAATTTTCTATTACACAGGGCGAAAAAAAAAGTCAAAGTATATATCATTTTGTTCGTCTCAGTGAAACAAATCAAATGCACTAAAAAAAAATTCAAAAAGTCCATACACTTTAAACTAATTTTTTTTTTTTCTAATTTAAATGAATTTAAAATACTTTAACTTTAAAAAATCATTACTCAATAACTATTAGGCCTATTTCCTTCAAATAAAGACCATTCTAAAGGGATTATAATTGAATATTGACAAACTTTTCTTCAAACAGTGTTCGAAGAAATTCGAAGTAAATCGAAATAATCTAAGAAAAACCCTACGAGTATTTTTTTTTTTCATCATTACCATCGTGTAGAGTTGTAATCTAAATTTTTAAAATAATATACCGAGTAGTTTTTAAGATATGATTATTTGAAGTTAAGGTTTGCTAATCAAGTATTGCGCCATATAGGAGAAATGCATGTTAATCTTACTTAAAATTGCATTTTTATAAAAGTATTTGTTTTAAGACTCTTCTTTTGCTTAAAAATGGTCAATTGCACCTTCTTTGTTCTAATTAGAATAAACAAAAACTGTTTGTTTACTTAAAACAAATAAAGAGTACCTGCGTACTAATTAAAGCAAATAAAGAGTTTTTTTGTTGTAAAAATGACCACTCATCATTGAGCAAAGAGGATCTAGAAGTTTAAGGCACGAGCCATAAATATAAGGGCAAATCTTTTTCAAATCAAATTACTTTCCATTCAGATTTCGACTTGTTCACTTTGTTCTAGCTTTCTGAACTTTTTTTGAAAATGTTCTGAGCAAATACTTTCGCATCACTTTCGAGTGATGTTAAATGCAATAAGTCACCTGATTTATTTTGTTGGTACATTCTAAGATTAGCTTCAGTTAGCTTGTTGGTAGTAGTTGTTGTGATAACAGTTGCACACGAAGCAACTGGATTATTGCATTCAACATTAGTAGAAAGTGATGAGAAAGTATTTGCTGAGAACATTTTCAAAAAAAAGGTCAGAAAGCTAGAACAAAGTGAACAAGTTGGAATCTGAATGGAAAGTGATGAAATTTGAAAAAGATTTGTTCTTATATTTAAAGCTACTGCTTTAAACTTCTAGATCCTTTTTGCTCAATGATCAGTGATCCTTTTTAGAATAAAAAACTCTTTATTCGCTTTAATTAGTACGCAGGTACTCTTTGTTTGTTTTAAGTAAAGAAACAGTTTTTGTTTATTCTAATTAGAACAATGAAGGCGCAATTGACCATTTTTAAGCAAAAGAAGAGTCTTAAAACAAATACTTTTATAAAAATGCAATTTTAAGTAAGATTAACATGCATTTCCTCCTATATGGCGCAATACCTGAATAGCAAACCTTAATTTCAAAAAATCATATCTTAAAAACCACTCGGTATATTATTTTAAAAATTTGGATTCTTACTAATAAAAAGATGCTCTGCAGGATGGTGATGAAGAAAAAAAAATTACTCGTAGGGTTTTTCTTAGATTACTTCGATTTACTACGAACTTCTTCGAATGCTGTTCGAAGAAAAGTTTGCCAATATTCAATTTCAAATTTTATATCATTCTAAAGGGCAAGGCCATCCCTTTAGAATGGTCTTTATTTGAAGGAAATCGGCCCAATAGTTATTGAGTAATGATTTTTTAAAGTTAAAGTATTTTAAATTCATTTAAATTAGAAAAAAAATATTTTGTTCAGTGAGTGGACTTTTAAAATTTTTTTTTGTGCATTTGATTTGTCTCACTAAGACGAACAAAATGATATAAAATTTGTCATATTGTCACGACATGACTTTTTTTGTCGCCCTGTGTTATTCTATTTTCCCTGTCGAGAAAATGCATCTAATTCATCGTTAATGTTATTCTATTTTGTTTTTCCATTTTTCAAATTAATTCATGATTAAGTTTTTCAGTGAAAAACTCATTTGTTATTATCTCAAATATTTACTTCAAAACGACAAAACATTCTACATAAACTTTTTATATGTATAATATTCCAAAAAATTAAGGGAACAAAAAAATTTCTTAAAATTATTGGTGATTTTTGAAGGAATGTGCCTTAATGAAAAATGGTCTATCTATCTAGATTTTGAAGCTTCAAGTTTGTAGTTTTGAGATCTTTTGACAAACAATTTTTTGAGCTACGATTATTACTCAATCCTAAGAAATAGGGCGACAAAAAAAATTGTAAATATTTTTATTCGTTTTATTTGTCCACGGACTTAGGGAAATAGCTTGTTCATTGAGCGCCAAATTGCTTTTTTATGTTCTCTTTACGTCAGTTTGTTGCTGGGATATTTGACTTTTAATGAAAAAGGATTTTTTTGTCTTTAAACACATATCTCAGTAACCAATGAGCGCCCAGAGAATATGTATAAAGATATTTTCAAAAACTGTAATAAATTTTCTACAAGATATATTAAAAAAAAATTACCCTCAACATTGTATAAAGAAAAGCGAAAAAAGTAACTTTTTTATTGTTTTAGTAAATCTGCACGTATTCACAAATATTGATGAGGAAACTAATGTGTCCAGTTTTTTTTACAGCTTAGTCTATGCCCAATAGCTCTGTAAATTTTTAAGTCGATCCCGCAAACCGTTTTCTCGGACCGATGGTCAAAGTTTTACCAAAAAGAATTATAATTTCTGAACATTGTGTAATCTTCATCAAAATGAAAAAAACATTTCTTTTACAATTATGCATGTTAAATCTAAAAAAAAATCGAAATTTTTTTTTGATATTTTTGAAAATTTGTAAAAAGTTAAGAATCAATACTGACTAATTTTTGAGACAATTCAGTTTTTGCATAATTATTCATATCAAATTAATTGCATTAATTAAAAGTTGATACTCTCAAGCTGTTTTCAGCTCTCAATTTACGAACATTCATGCAAATTTTCAAAAAAGTCTATTTTATTTTAAATTTGAAGCAAAACTTTAAACATATACTATTTTCTATTGGTACTGCTTTAAGGACGATTAATTTATCTACTTCAAAAACCTTGAATATAATATTTATTTCATATTTTCAGCCGACTTGGATGAAGAGTAAAGAATACTGGGACAAATCATTCGAAGATCGATTTGAACGTCAAAAAATGGATGCTGAAAGACCACCACTGAAGGTAAATAAACGATTCTAGTTGTTTTCTTATGATACACATATATTACCATATTTATGACAAGTAGCCAAAGTTTATCGACAGATTTGAAAACATACTTTAAGACAATATTTACATATTTGTATTCATATTAAAAATGTTTATTTTAGTTTCTTCCTCGATTCAAGTAGTACTCGAGAGTCAAATCCTTGATATGCACCAGTTACACTGAAGGCTAGATTTTTTTTCATTTTACAACGATAGATATTAAATTGTTAACTTGTAAACAGTAATGAGAATAAATATCATAAAACAAAAAGAGATGCCTGTTTTAGGCACATTTATTAATCACAGAAGCATTCTTAATGGAATTTTTGTTAATTTGTGCTCTGACAAAGGATCAAAAGATGTTATACAGAATTTTAAATTGCGTTTGTTTCATTTTTGATTCATTTAAACTCCCCAATGACCTCTGACAATTTTGCTCACTGTCTGAATCCTTAGAATATTTGTAATTAATTTTCCCCAATTAATTACAAATTTTTATACGGTGGTAAATAAATTGAAATGTTTCTAATAATAATTACATTAAATACAAATAAATATTAGCACAATTTTTGTAGGAGTTGATAATAAATTTCTTCTCAAAAAAATTATTCCTCGAATATAATGTTACATGTGATTTAAATCATTAATAAATAATTTATTAGTAACCAGAAAATGCAATTTTTATTTATGTTGTATGTTGCCAAACAACTTTTACAAGTGGTATAGTATACGAAATAGCCAAGTAATAATTAAATAATTTGATTTTTTCAGACGAGCTGGGTTGGTTTGATGACATTCATGAATTTTAAAATGTGGTGAATGACCCAGAGGAGCAAAAAAGTGAATAACTTTTGTTCATTCATTTGTTTTTTAATGAAAATTAGCCAGAATTATTTAAACGACACTATAATTAAAACACTGTACTTAAAAAAACATTTGGCTTTAGTCAAGTATTATATTATTTTTTGAGTCATTAAAGAGAACAGTAATTTTCAGTGAAGTTTTAAGATGTCCAAGTAGTAATTGTAGAAATTTAAATTTAGTCTCATCGTTTGCTATTTAACGTGTTTTACTTACAGCCATAAAAAATAATTAAAAAAAAAACATTATTTGCAACTGATGACTGTTAAAATTTTTCAACTCAACTTGGAATTGACAGTGAGATGAAATAAATGTTAGGAAAACATTTCGAGGAAGTGATGAAACGATATGGTGTTTTTACTTTATTTTTCCAAACCTGCATCTTTCTCATACAGTTATTCAACGTATAACCGGAATCGATTGTGAAGTTTATTGACGTTTCCTCGCACGTGTCGTTCAATCTGCACCAAATCATAGTAGTCAATTATTCATTACACCTGTACCTACCTCCAGCACATACATCTTCATTTACATAATTATGGATCACGTTATATTGTGCTTCAGGTGATAATAGTTCCTCACTCCCATAACGACCCCGGATGGCTGAAAACCTTCGAGAATTATTTCCACTACAGCTCCCGCCAAATAATGAACCACATGGTGGCGAAACTGCAACAGTACAAAAACCTAACATTTATTTGGTCCGAGGTGGCGTTTTTGAACGCTTGGTGGGAGGAAGCCCATCCGAGCAAACAGCGAGCTCTTCGAAATTTGGTCCATTCGGGGAGACTCGAAATCGCCACCGGTGGGTGGGTGATGACCGACGAAGCCAACGCACACGTCTACGCCATGGTGGACCAACTTATCGAAGGTAATTGGAAGCCAAGGAGTAAACCGCGGCTCATAATTTTGTACAGGGTGCTGCATTTTGGATGTCCGAATAGAGAATCTCTGAAACTAAGAGGTTTAGCCAAAAACGAGTGATACATTTTGGGGCTCATTTTTTGAGAAAATAATATTGGTGAAAACCGCTTCCTGCTATCATGGGCAGATCCAGAGGAGGGGCCCCCCCAAACTTGCCATCGAAAGCTTCAATTTTTTATATTTAAATTTTAATATAAAAACCTTATGACCTAAAGTTTTTTAAATAAAAACATTAGAATTTATTTTAAATCACACTTATTAATACAAATCATACATACCTATACCGAGAGATCGAAATAATTTGTAATCGAGTCATTTTTGGATCCGAAAACGTACAGTTGCGCAATTAAAATTTCGGGACTGTCATTTTCATAATGTAAATTCTAAAACAACCTTTATATTAATGACCTTATTTTTTACACTTGTCATATTTGTCATTTTGACTTATTTACTTTCAAAAATAGTGATTTGTGGCATAATAACGGGTAGGCAGCAGATCAAAGTGATGATTTAATAACACTTAGTTCAATTAATAAATTTCCTAAGACAGACAAATTGTTTAATTAATAAATTTAACAACAAATAAAAATAAGTTTAATTGTCAAATGTCAATCATGATGACAGTAAAAGGTAGTTTACAGTGAACTTTTTAAAGTGACAGAAAAATACTGCCCCAATTTTAATTCTGCAACTGTACGTATGTCTGTTTTTGAACTAACTGCACGTGAAACGTCAAATAAAATGACTAGTCGAAAACAGAAAATGGGCTGGAATTAGTCGCCGACGTATAATAATAAGACCGTTCTTTTTTGAAGGTAAATCATAAATTTAGTTATTAAAATCATCTTTTGGATCATACCATTTTACCTTTCGACTTGTCATTTTATTTTATTTGACGTTTCACAGACGTACGCACAGGACATACGTTTTCGGATACAAGAATGATCTCTCAATACTTACTTAGTTTTTACTAATTTAAAAAGAAATCATCAATTGTAATTTTCTTTGGGCCACATCTCTAATTAAATGTTTGAATAATGAACTTTACCAACTCGCTGGAACACCTTATCGAGTGAGCGGCAAAATTATCGAATAGTTTTATTAAAACAGAAAATTTTTTGTTTTGGTAAAAATGTTTAAAGAGGTCAATTTTCTTTTTAAAAATTCACAATTCTCAACTTGTTTTAAATTCCACACTTTTTGGTTTTCGGGTAATGACAGCAGCGACATTTTTTTCTTAATGGAAACCCCTATTTTTTTTAGCGAATTTGATAAGAGTAGATTTTTTAATTGTCGAAATGGCAACACCAAAATATTATGTATTACATAAAGTTTTTCAAAAAAAAATATCCAAAAAGTGAAATAATATCAATAAAAAACAAAGATACAATTTTAAATCAAGTTAAAAATTTTGTATTTTTTAAAAAGAAAATTGACCTGTTCGAGCATTTTTGCCAAAACAAAATATTTTCAGTTTTAATAAATATGATTATTCTATAATTTTGCCGCTCACTGTATACCCTCATCGTTCTAAAAAAATTTTAGATAGGCCTCCCCCAAAATTAATTCCTGGATCCGCCCCTGCCTGCTATCGTCTTTTGTTTTCGACTTACAGACAAAAGTTGACATTTTAGCGAAATCTAAAATAATTCATATCTTTGTTATTATAGAAAATATAGATTTGAAACAAAGACATTATATACAGGCACTTTTTTACGTAGAATTTAATAATTTTTTTCAGTTATTTGTTTAACAGTAATAAGATAAACTTGTATTTTTTTAAAAGGGAATCATAGGTGGCTATGACATTTTTAAAAAGCTTATATTTTTCTGATCGTAAAAATATATAGAAATACATGTTTTAAATGTTTTTGTTAATTTTTAAATTAAAAGATTTTTTTTGTAATATTTTGACATTTTGTTGGTGGTGGGCCATGGAAACAAATGGTTATTTTGTATGTCATTATGAAATAAGTATTTTAAAAATTTATTAAAATAAAAATGCAAAATTACGAGAATTTCGTAAAGTATGACATGTTAGAATCCAACAAAAATGCACCAGCTGCTTGCCAAAATTATTTAGAAATATGTCCAAAAAGGCGACAACCAAGCTTGACCGACTGGTAAAAAAAAATTATTCAGTGTTTTTAAACAACCACGACCAAAATGTTACGAAAAAGAAACCCGGAAAGAAGAAGAAATTAACGTATTAGGGAGTGTTACAGCAAATTCTACTATTTCCCTTAGAAAAATTGAAAATGATCTAGGGGTCAATCAAAAGACCACATTAAAAATTAAAAAAAAACACAAATTCCGTTCTTATAAGTATCATAAAAGTAAATAATTTTGGCAAGCGGCTAGTGCATTTTTGTTGGATTGGATGTAGCATTCTAACGATCATAAGTACTTTTTTATTTTAAATTTTTACTTTAATAAATTTTTAAAATACTGATTTGATAATGGCACATAAAATAATCATTTGTTCCATTGCCAACCACCAAATGTCAAAATATTACAATTTTTTTTCTTATTTAAAAATTAACAAAACACATATTATATATATTTTTAAGATCAGAAAAAATATTTTTTTAAAAAATGGCATAGCCTTCTATGATTCCCATTTAAAAAAATACAACTTTATCTTATTACTGTTAAACAAATAACTGAAAAACATTGTTAACAACATTATTAAATTCTACGTAAAAAAGTGCCTGTGTAATGTCTTTGTTTTAAATCTATTTCTTCTATAATAACAAATTTGTAAGTCGAAAACAAAAGACGATAGCAAGATGCGCTTTTTACCAATATTATTTTTTCAAAAAATGAGCCCCAGAATGTATCACTCGTTTTTGGCTATACCTCTTAGTTTCGGAGATTCCCTATTCGGACATCCAAAATGCAGCACCCTGTACACTATAATCCCATTTATACAGATAATTCCAAATAATCCCATATTATAATCTCAAATACACCCAAATAATTCCAAGGAATCCCAAATAATCCCAAATACTTCCACGTCTAAATAATTCCAAATTAAAATAAAAGTAAAAACAGATGTGATGTTTATTATAGTCTGTGCGTGATTAAATAATTTTTTGATATTATTTTTTCATGTTTGTGTAAGTTTTTTACTATAAGAGTGTATTCGATATTATAATATAGGATGTGTTAGAACCCATAGAAAAATTTTAAGTAAAATAAGATACCAGGAACATGTAAAAAACGTTTGAAATAATCTATCTGTCAAAAAATTTTTACATTTAACATTTTCTTATGTCTATTCAAGGATCCTGATGATCTTGTATACAAATATATTTTTTTTTTATAATTATTTAGTAAAGGTACAAAAATTTTGCCAATAAAAGCCACAAATAACATCAAACAGAGTTACAATTTAGGATACAGCTCCCTTGTTTCCTCTTCTAATAACCTGTAGCAAATAAATTTGGAAAATTATTTTCCCAACAGAAATGAATAGAGTCAAAGTGCAAAATTTAAACTTTTCTAACTTGAAATTTTTATAGATAGAATTTTTTTAACATTTTTTCCATGTTCCAGATATCTTATCTGGCATTTTTCTCTGGGGAGCGAGTTCTGGCGCACTTGTATAGTATCACCAAATTGCTCTAATTGTATGTAATTACTTTTTATAGTTTTTACTTTTTATTTAATCTTTTGCTTTTTATTACTATGCAAGTGTCCGGAAGTTGCGTGCACAAACTTCTAGGGGTAATTCCATACCTCAAAATATGAAGAAAAGTTCCTATCAATACAGGGTGTTGCGTTTTTATTGTTACAAATTTAAACAGGTGATTAGAATATTCAATTTTAATACAAAAGTTTCCTATGAACTTGTATCAAAAAATGTTATGTAAGCGAGCTACACCCCCTGAAAGAGATCCGTTTTTTAATGGGGTTTTCCCATCATTACAGAATAGATAAAAGTATAAAAGTTGGTACAGCTGATAACATTTAAACACCTAAACGAATTCAAAGACAGTTGTCGAAAGTTTTAATCACGGGCGTCTTAAACGGTTAAACAAATTTAATTTTTAATTTTTTATCTTCTTTATGATCGGTAAACTGATTTTACTCAAAAATGGTAAGTTGTATCGAAAAAACACAAGAGATCTCTTTTTTTGTGAAAAACTATGGGATTTTGAATTTTGTAGCTGAAACAGGCAAAAACCAACAGCCAAAATAGTTAGGGTACTTTTTACCCTTAACCCCCCAGTTTAGGACGCCCATGAATAAAATTTCGACATATTATCTTGGATTTCGGTTGTAGGTATAAAGATTATCAGTTGTACCAAATTTTGTAATTTTATCTACAATGGTTGCTGAAATATTGGAAAAAATCCATTAAAAACAAAGAACAAATGTGCTCTTTTTTAAATTATTTTTGTTAATATTTTAATTAGAAAAACAAACCATTTGTTATAATTTGAAGAACGCCAACTATGTTTTTTATTAATTACATTGTTTCAATTTGTGTCGACATAAAAAATCGCTTGTATTTCGATAACGGAGTCTTCTATAAGATTTTGCCAAGAGGACATTTTTTATGAAAAAATGTTTTTTCTATTTTATTATGATATTATATTTACAAAAAGTTTTAAGAGAAAAAAAGAATTGGGCGATTTTTGCCGCAGACCCCCCTTTTGTGCGCTCCTGACCAAGATTCAAAAATTTTATTTATGCCAATCGATTTAGCATCCTAAAAAAAAACCTACGGGTGCGTGGTATTATTTTTCTATTTAAAACATTAAAAGTAATTTAAAAACATTTGAAGGCCCACCTTTATAGGGTCGTTAACTTTCTAGTAAGCTTTTTTGGACCCATATTGACGGGAACTTTTTTTCATATTTTGACGTATGAAATTACCCTGAAAGTTTGTGCACGCAATTTCCGGACTGCCTGTGTAGCGTGAGCGGCAAAATTATTAAAACTAAAAATATGTATTTTATTTTGGCAAAAATACACGAACAGGAGAGCGAACAGGTCTATTTTCTTTTTAAAAAATTCACAATTTGTAACTTGGTTCAAAATTTTACACTTTTTGGTTTTTGAGTAATGAGGTCATCGAAATTTTTTTAAATGAAAACCACCTATTTTTTAGCCATTTTGATAGATCTTTTTATTGTCGAAACACCAAACATTAAATATGTATTGTCATACATAAAATTTTCGAAAGAAAAAATATTCAAAAAGTAGGACAGTTCAGATTATATATTTTTTTATTTTCATTATTTTTTTTTCTATTAATTTTCCTTTGAGGTTAAGTTGAATAGCTTCAAGCTAGACTTTGCCTCCTCATCTGTTTATTACTGTTTAATTTTATTTAATAAAGGCCCTTTATTATTAGTATTATTTAAAAAATTGACTTTTTTGAGCATTTATGCCAAAACAAAATATTTTCAGTTTAAAAAAAAGAGATTATTCCATAATTTTGACGCTCACTGCATATACAATATGTCCCCGGATTGAGTTTACAAGAGGAAAAAAAAAATCTTTGATTTTACGCCAAGACTGTAAAGGAAAAACATTTTTTGTTTTATCTGAAATAATCAAATTTGTAATTAAAACTTTATTATTCTGATTCAGTGAACAGAAGAGTTAATTTTTCTCTTGATTTTCGATTTACAATAATTTTTCTCTGCTTTTTAAGTCCTATTACATTGTCGGTTTTATTTATTTGACAACTATGTCACTTTCAAATAATTCCAAGGAATTTCAAATAATCTCAAATAATTCTAAATAATTCCACCACTTGTAGATCATAATTACACAACGGTTTATCACTCGTTGAAAGCTAAAAAACAATAAATTTTTATTTTTAATTTTGCAGGCCACCAGTGGGTTTGGTCCAACCTGGGGGTCAAGCCCATTTCGGGCTGGTCAGTGGACCCCTTCGGACACGGCAGCACCCAGCCCTACATCCTCGCTTCTTCGGGAATCAAAGGCACAGTTATCCAGCGCATCCACTACGCGTGGAAACAATGGCTAGCCCTGAAACAATACGGCGATTTCCGGTGGGTCCCCACGTGGAGTCCAGCAAACCCATCAGCCACCCTCCTCACCCACAATCAACCTTTCGACATCTACTCCATAAAGCACAGCTGCGGCCCCCACCCTTACATTTGCCTTAACTTCGACTTCCGCAAGGTCATCGGCGAATACACCGAGTACTCCATCAAAGCCCAAGCCATCACCGACAAGAATATCAAAGAAAAGAGCGAATTGTTGCTGGAGCAGTACGCTCGAACCGGATCTTTGTTCCCCCACAACGTGGTTTTGATGCCTCTCGGCGACGATTTTCGCTACAATGTGGCGGAAGAATGGGACCAACAATACACAAACTATATCAAACTAATAGACTATATCAACGCGAATAAAGACACTTATAAAGCCGAAGTGGGATTCGGGACACCGAAAGACTACTTTCGCGAGATAATGAAACGCTACGATCAATACCCGACTCTAAAGGGCGATTTTTTCGTCTATTCGGACATTTTCTCGGAGGGCCGACCCGCCTACTGGTCCGGCTACTTCACCACAAGGCCCTTCATGAAAATCTTAGATCGGGAATTGGAGAATAGTCTCCGAAGTGCCGAAATTTTATACACCATAGCATTGAACAACGCTCGACAAAACAAACTTTTACCATACGTTAAAATCCTCGAACGCGATTTCGAGAAATTGGTCCGGGCTCGCCGCAATTTGGGGCTGTTCCAACACCACGACGCCATCACGGGGACTAGCAAATCCTTCGTGATGCGCGATTACGGTCTCAAGCTCTTTGAGGGGATCCGAGACACCGTCAGTATTCAACAAAACTCGCTCCAAAGCCTCCTCTTCCCCGACATTCCCATAAAACCAGGAGAGAACGTCATTTTAAGCGATTTGGAACGAGACTCGTATGAGAAACTCCCCAAGAAGACACCAATCGGGTTGGGAGCCCGTCAAGTGCGTAAAATCGTGCTGTACAACTCACTAGCTCAACCCCGAGAGCAATTAATTCAAGTGAGGACCAACACGAGTAGTGTGAAAATTGTCGATAATGAAGGGAACGAAGTGGTGTCCCAAATTAATCCAGTGTGGGACACGTCGGAAAGCAACACGAAATTGTGGATCGCAGCCGACGAATTCGAGGTTGTCTTCATTGCAAAACTCAAAGAGTTGTCTCTTACGACCTATAGTTTAGTTTATGAAGAGAATGAGACGAGACTGGCCACGATCTATTGCAACAAATGTCACAGGAAGGCCAGCATTATCACAAACACTGATAGTACAACCTTGAAGCAAAACGACGTCTTGAAATCAAAATTTGTAATCAAAAACATACCCACGGGTGATATTCAATTAGAGAATCACAAATTTAAAATTTTATTTAACGGAAATACAGGGTTCATGAAAACGGTCACGCGGAAGCACAGCCCCAAAATCATGCAATGCGGACTCCAATTCGCAGCCTATCGCAGTGCGCAGTTCCACTCCGGGGCTTACTTATTCATGCCGGACCCCAACGAACGCGACATCGAGAAGGACGTTCTCCAGCAATACAAGGACCAGATGAGCATCATCATAACCTCAGGGCCGGTCTCGAGCGAAATCACCGTGATTTACGGGGCTTTTCTCGTCCACACCGTGGCCATATACCACGTGGAGTCCCCCCTCGCCGACGCCATCTACACCGAGAGCACTGTCGACTTTGAAAACCCGCCGAAAAACCGCGAAACCGAACTTTTCATGCGCATCATCTCCGATGTCCAAAACGGGGAAGTCCCTGAGTTCCACACCGATCAGAACGGTTTTCAGATGCTGAAACGAATCAAGGTTGAGAAAATCGGGGTTGAGGGGAATTATTTCCCCGTAACTACGATGGCCTACATCCAGGATGATAACGTGAGGTTGAGTTTGTTGACGGATCATGCGCAGGGGGCGGCAGGGTGGCAGCCCGGGTTTTTGGAGGTGATGCTCGACAGGAGGACGCTGTATGATGATTCCAGGGGGATGGGCGAGGGGTTGGTGGACAATAAGAAGACGGTACATAAGTTCTGGATCTTGATTGAGGATGTAGTTAAAGAAAAGGGTGAAAAGGGGCATTCGAAACGATTCGAGAACTCGGATGATACGTTCGAGAAGGGAGATGTTGTTAGGTCGTTTAATGTACCGACGGATCCGGTGGAGTCCGGAAAGCAGGAGGGGTTTCCCCGCGCGTCGCTGTTTGCTAATCAGATGTCAAACGGGTTGAATTATCCCGTGGGGATTTTTATTCTTGACCAGGAACACCAAGAAGTGAAGAAGAGTCTCGATTTGGTTAATAGGGAATTCCCCTGTGATACGCATTTGATGACATTGAGGACTCAACCGGATTCGGTTTATTCACAGTTTCCTTCTTCTAGCGCCCTCTTAGTGTTGCATAGGCAAGGGTATGACTGTGCTGTGAGTAAGAATTTTTCTTGTACCTTGTCGAAATTCGACAGTGGGTTTGAGCATGTCAAAATTAAGGAAATTCAAGCGAAAACGTTGACCGGAATCGATGATCTGCCAGATAATGTTAAACATTTGAGTGATATTTATCTCGAACCCATGACTTTAAAGACTTTTAACATGACCTTTGTATAGTAGCAATTGATGTGATTTTATAGATTTTTAATGAATACTTTATTTATATTTTTAAAATTTGTAGATAATGTAAATAGGACTTTTTAAAAATGTGTGCATTCTATGTTGTTACGTCCTAGTAGAATTATTGGGTTTTATGTAATTTCAAGCACCGACTGATCATGTTTTATTATTTAAGTATGTTTGCTGTTACGAAAAAAATATATCGTTTTTTATACGTTGAACCTTATATTTGCCGAAAATAAAAGTTCCAACAAATACGGTTTACTTTTTTATTCTCAGTCTAAATTTATAAAGAATTAATACATCTTACACATTGGGATCATGCCCTACTATCGATAATAAGAAAAAATATGCATCACAGTTTCAAATGAATAAATATACATCGTAACAAAAACATACAAACAATTTACTTTCGCATAATATAGAAAATGACTCACAAATAACTTTTTTATTTCATAATTATTTTATTATTTGTATGTTCAGTGTTTTATAGACACGTAATACAAATACTGCGTCGAAATTGTGCGAGCAACGGGTCTTCCGGAATTATTAAACATGATATAGCTTTTCAGGGAACAAAAATTTGAACCTCACCGAAGCGACTTGGAAGAATAAACTACTACACTCTAATATAAAGCTGATTTCAAATTTAAAATTATTTTGTAAAAATGCCATTTAAACCAAAAATAAGAACAATAAAAGAACTTGTCGAATAGACATTCAGTAGCTACAATTGGTAAGAATACTAACAACAATCAAGCATCCTTTAAGCAAGCTACAAGATAATATATTGGATAAACTATTTACGTTAATTTTCATACTTTTGGTCTTTCATTTGCAAAAAAACGGATTAATTTTATTTATTATCACCGTTTTCACCCTTGAAATAAAATAAAAGGCTCCTAGATAGAGAAATAATTAATTTGATGTCGCTTCCGAAACACCCGTTATTAACCCATGCTGCTGTCAAAAAAATCTTAGCAAAAATCGTTTTTTGTCTTTGACTACTGCATAATAAAAGCTTTAGTAAATAGGTATTTTCTTGGTGATAGTTTTCCTGCACATGTGACACGTTTTTAACGTATCGGCGCACTTCGAGCACGTTCCGTGCCCACAAAGAAACACGACATTTCGTTTCCTCTCCATACAAATACTGCAAGCGTGACTTTCCTCGATTTCGGCGATTTTGCATTCCAAGTATCTCATTCTTTCCGCGCTCGGCTGTCTCGATTTCGCTGGAATAACTCTACCGTCTTTTGTGATACGCTTCTGCACAATTGAACCGCATTGCAAACACTTTTTCATTCGCGAAGAACAGTCCTCACAAGCCGGCTTGTGGTTACAAGGATCCAACCTCACATTTTCTTCCGATAACTCGGAACAAACTAGACATTCGACCGGTTTGCTACTGACAATTTCGTTTTGGTAATAGTGATTTTTATGATTCGGTGAGTTTTCCTGAGACGTGCCACCGATATCAAGGATTTTGTCGTTCTTTTGCTCGCGACGGCTTCTCCGAGTGTTTTTCGAATCGTCGATTAGGTTTCGAGCAGGACTGTGTTTGGGGGTATTATCGGTTAAGTTATAACCGTCAATCGAATGACGCGCTTCGGTTAAATTAAGAGATTCTAAATTGAGAGTTTCCTGAGTATTCTCTTGAATTTGATTACTGTCTAAGTTTGGCTTGTAACTTTTTAGTAACTCTTGTAAACTTGAATCTTGTAGGAGACTCAATGCAGATTGTCCCTTACTGTTAAGTGCGTCTAAATCTATCCCTTTTTGAATGAGATAACAAGCGATTGTGACCGCTAGACGATATTCGGACACGTGACCTATACTTTCGTAAATTGCACACATGTCAGGACTCTCTTCTTGTCTGATTTCTCCATTCAAGTGGGCTTTTTTGATGAAAACTAAGTGTAAAGCTGTGTCTTCATCCTCATCTTTGGCGTTTATATTGGCTTTCAGTTTGATTAAGAGCTCGATGACTCCGCAATGACCTGATACAAATAGTTAGCCTTAAACTTTTTGACTAATTCATTAATAAAAAAACGTTACCTTGACTGACTGCAAGGAGAAGGGCGGTTTGGTTTCTATTATTTCTCAAATTAATATCCGCTTGGCCTACGTGCACGAGCGTTTCGACGACTTCTTTATGACCGTTCAAGGCTGCCAAATGCAAGGCTGAAAAACCGTCGTCTTTTTTCACATCGACTAGTTGTCTGGCTTGCGTGAGGAGTTTTCTCGTTGCGAAATTTTTGCCTTTGAGAGCAGCATGATGCAAGGCATTGAAGCCTCTCTTATTTCTCAGTGTGAAATCGATACCGCTAGCTGCACACAATAGTTCAATCACCTGATAACTATCTTTTCCAATGGCATCGTGAAGGGCAGTGTCCCCGTAAAGATCGGTACAGTTGGGATCAGCACCGGCCGATAATAAGATTTGGACGCATCGCGCCGGTTGCTTGTGTGCTGCGATATGCAAAGCGGTACAACCGCTACGATTGGCAGTGTTTAAATCGGCGCCGGCTTTGATCAACAAATCCAACACCTACATACATGGGAAATACAGAATTAGTCATTTATTTGTGATAACACAAGGCGACAAAAAAAACAAAACAAAAAAGTCATGTCGTGACAAATTTTATAACATTTTGTTCGTCTCAGTAAGACAAATCAAATGCACTAAAAAAAATTTCAAAAAGTCCACACACTTTGAACTAAGTAATTTTTTTCTAATTTAAATAAATTTAAAGTACTTTAACTTTAAAAAACCATTACGCCATTAGGCCGATTTCCTTCAAATAAAGACCATTCTAAAGGGATAGCCTTGCCCTTTAGAATGATATAAAATTTGAAATTGAATATTGGCAAACTTTTCTTCGAACAGTGTTCGAAGAAGTTCGAAGTGAATCGAAGTAATCTAAGAAAAACCCTACCAGTATTTTTTTCGTCACCATCGCGTAGAGCATCTTTTTATTAGTAAAAATCCAAATTTTTAAAATAAGATACCGAGTAGTTTTTAAGATATGATTTTTTGAAGTTAAGGTTTGCTATTCAGGTATTGCGCCATATAGGAGAAATGCATGTTAATCTTGCTTAAAATTGCATTTTTATAAAAGTATTTGTTTTAAAACTCTTCTTTTGCTTAAGAATGGACAATTGCACCTTCTTTGTACTAATTAGAATAAACAAAAACTGTTTCTTCACTTAAAACAAACAAAGAGTACCTGCGTACTAATTAAGGCAAATAAAGAATTTTTTTGTTCTAAAAATAATCACTGATCATTGAGCAAAAAGGATCTAGAAGTTTAAAGCAGTAGCTTTAAATATAAGAACAAATCTTTTTCAAATTAAATGACTTTCCATTCAGATTTCAACTTGTTCACTTTGTTCTAGCTTTCTGAACTTTTTTTTGAAAATGTTCTCAGCAAATGCTTGTTTATCACTTTCTACTGATGTTGAATGCAATAAGTCAGTTGCTTCGTGTGAAACTGTTACAACAACTACTACCTACAAACTAACTGAAGCTAATCGTAGAATGTACCAACAAAATAAATCAGGTGACTTTTTGCATTTAACATCACTCGAAAGTGATGAGAAAGCATTTGCTCAGAACATTTTGAAAAAAAGTTCAGGAAGCTAGAACAAAGTGAACAAGTCGAAATCTGAATGGAAAGTAATTTGATTTGAAAAAGATTTGCCCTTATATTTAAGGCTCATGCCTTAAACTTCTAGATCCTCTTTGCTCAATGATCAGTGGTCATTTTTACAACAAAAAAACTCTTTATTTGCTTTAATTTGTACGCAGGTACTCTTTATTTGTTTTAAGTAAACAAACAGTTTTTGTTTATTGTAATTAGAACAAAGGTGCAATTGACCATTTTTAAGCAGAAGAAGAGCCTTAAAACAAGTTCTTTTATAAAAATGCAATTTTAAGTAAGATTAACATGCATTTCTCCTATATGGAGCATAGCAAACCATAACTTCAATAAATCATATCTTGAAAACTACTCGGTATATTTTTTTGAAAATTTGGATTACTACTAATAAAAAGATGCTCTACACGATGGTAATGATGAAAAAAAAATACTCGTAGGGTGTCGCGTCCTTATTTTCTCATCATAATTTATAATTTGTATAATATTTAGTTAATTTAAAGGGAGCGCTGACATTCGGCCCTAGTTTTGGTTGTTAAGAAAAACAAAAAGTTTGTTTATGTTGAAAAAGGTTTCGTTTATGTTTGGTTTTTTTGTGTGAATTATTCGTATTTGTTGGAATCACTCGTCCTGAAACTAGAAAGTGATAATATTGGAAATTGCTCAACAGGACCGCAGATTTTAAGAATTAGTGAAGATTCCTATCCTCCCAACCTCTTTCCCTTCCTTTCCTATTTTCCTACCTCATCCTTTGGATTCTACGTGGGAACACTCAAAGGTAGGAATTTTCATTTACCTCTTCCCTATCATTGTCTCCGCCGCGAAACATAGGGTTTTTCATAGATTATTTCGATTTACTTCGAACTTCTTCGAACACTGTTCAGTTGGAGACAAAATACTTTGGTCGTCAATGTCACTTGAGTGACATTAAAGTGTAAGGCATGCTTTAGGACTGTTAACCTTATTTTTAGCTACTGTCAATCATAGTTGACAAGTTGTATGTTCATATTTTTGATAGGAAAATATAATAGCTGTCATTAATTTAAAATTGTCATTCATTTTAACGTTAAAGCTTGAATTACATTAAAGTGTCACAAAAGTGACGATCAAAGTATTTTGTCTCCAACTGTTCGAAGAAAAGTTTGCCAATATTCAATTTCAAATTTTACATCATTATAAAGGGCAAGGCCATCTCTTTAGAATGGTCTTTATTTGAAGGAAATTGGCCTAATAATTATTGAGTAATGATTTTTTAAAGTTAAAGTATTTTAAATTCATTTAAATTAGAAAAAAATTACTTACTTCAAAGTGTGTGGACTTTTTGAATTTTTTTTAGTGCATTAGATTTGTCTTATTGAGACAAACAAAATGATATAAAATTTGTCAAGTTATCACAACATGACTTTTTTTGTCGCCTTGTGTAATCATTACCTCTGGTTGGTTTCCAAAAGCTGCATAATGTAAGCAAGTGTCGCCATCGTTATCGCTGGCGTTGACAGAAGCTCCTGCATGAAGCAGCAGTTTTACTATTGCTGCATGTCCCTGATGTGCTGCCACCTGTAAGGCTGTCTTGCCTCCACTTCGCATATCCACCATATTACTAGATACACCCTCGAGCAGTCTTTGTACAGTTTCTAAATGTCCCTGAGCTGCATCCCTCACTAATTGATCAGCCACTCCGTTCGTCTGATTATCGGCTGGATTCGCCGGATGCCATTCCACTATTAACAAAATAATAGTACGAGTATGTTATACAGGGTGTCAATTTTAAAACTTGCAATCGGCAATATCTCTAAAACTAAAAAAGTTATTGAGAATCACTCAAAATCGTTTCGGTGGGTGAGTGACGCTCTTCCACCCACCCTTCAAGCCACAGCCACCTTAAGTTGAAAATTTTAAATGGCACGAACCTACTTGCAATACATCGATATAACAAGCGCTTTTCAAAAATGTCATACTATTTGGTAAAGCCATTTTTCCAATTATTCAAAAATGAAGACGTTAAATTTTCATTTTTTTTTATTATATTCAAGCATGGGTGGATGTGTGTCACTTATCATGTCATTTTAATTCCCCCTAGGAACCACCAAAACGGTTTTGAGTGATTATTAATAACTTTTTCTGTTGAGAGAAATTGACGATTGCAAGTTTTAAAATTGACACAATGTATACGTAGTAGAGAGAAGAGGATTTTTATAGTCGATCTGTTTATTGCCCGAGATGCATAGCATCGAGGGAAATAATACATACGAGGCTATAAAAATCCTCTCTAGCGTGTTTTATACAGAATGATTTTTAAAAAAACGACAGGCACTATAGATTTTTTATTTAAGGCCCGTTTCAAAAATTAAAAAACCAAATTAAATGGATTTTGATATATGTAGTATAAACTGATAATTTTAGAACTTTTCTAAATGTCATAGTAAATTTTGGACTATATTCAACTTTCTAATTTTGAATTGGAACCCATATTTTTTTCTTCAAAATTGGAAAGACACTAGTTTTCTTGGTACAGACATGTGAAATAAGTTTCACTTTTCCTAAATACAAATTATCAATGTTAAAAACATTATTACAAGTAAATAAAATCTAGTTGCATGGTGTCACTATTTTAATGTCAAAAAGCAACAAATGAAAGAAAATGTTGCCAATACTTTTTAAAATTTTAATAAGAAATGTCAATAATAATTACCTATAGCAAATCAAAAAAACATTTTTATTTTGTACTCAATATTAAAGAGTGCTTTTATCAACTAATTTCAGTAGATAAAGCAGTCTTTTATCGTCTAGTGACTAGTGGAATAAAATATTTTTTATCTATGGTTTATATTTTATCAACTAATTGCAGTAGATAAAGTAGTCTTTTATCGTCTAGTGAAATAAAGTAATTTTTATCTACTGTTTATATTCATCAACCAGACACAAGAAATTCTGGTAGGTGAGTACAAAATAAAGCGAAATAGTATACACGACGATAAAGATTGTTTATCTACTCGTGAAAAAAGTTCACTCGTGACTTCGTCACTCGTAAACTTAACTTTTTCACTCATAGATAAACAATTTCTTTATCGTCTTGTATAATAAATAACTAAATTTAGTGTGATTAATTTATTTTAATATTTATTTATTAATTTTGTTTAATTTCAATAAGATTATTGTTAACGTCAATTTTTTTATTGACACCATGCAACTAGATTTTATTAACTTTTATTATTATTTTTTAAACAATTTCAACAGATCCATTATTGCCCTTGTTCAATAAGAAAAACAACTTCACAACCTCTCGACAAACTAAATAATGGTACCTTTTACAACTAGTAGTAAAAAAATTTTTTTTTCTATAATTATTAAAAAGTTATGACGTACTTGATGGTTCCTGTCTTTGATTTTGCGTCGCTTGCATCGTATTTGCCAATTCTGCTGCACTTCCAGGTACTATTCTCACACATTGTGGATTTAAAGTCCATGCATGTCCGTCGAGTTGCACCCGCAAATCACCATCAGAGTAAATTTTCAAAATTTTGCCCAATTTACCCAACGACTACGATTATTTTAATTTTATTCACACGCAATTATATTAATTTCAAGTGTTACGTTTTTCATTATTTCGATCCATTCACCGTGACCTTTCTGCAGTTCCTTGACTTTCTCGATGTCCGTACTTAGACAAACAATATCTCCGACGGCCACCGAATTGACTTTGGATAGTGTTACAGGATTAAAAGTCCATCTATTATGACACCCTTCGTACTGTACTCTAATATCACCTTTATCAGTAACTCGGTGAACTTTTCCGATTTTGCCGATGTACTGTGAACATAGCGTGAGTGAAAAACACAATTATTTTCATCAATAGTTTGATTACTTCGGCCATTTTGGGATTCCATCCACCATGTCCCTGTTGCAAAGTCTTTAACTGTTCTTCAGAGACGACGACTTTAACTTTATCGCCGACACTGAATGGAGGAGGGCCTGATCTGACTGGACGAGCCACCGCTTGCTCTACGTTTTGACCTGAACAATTTTTAAATATTTACATTTTGCACAACAGCTTAAAAAGTGGATCGATAAACATCATGGTTGGGAAATCAAAAGCAATTTGCATTGTACAACAAATAAAAGAGACAAATTACAAAAAAAATGTTATATAAAAATTCTGTTATAAAACTTATTCTGTAAAAATTCTAAACGTTACTTAATTCCTGAGTTGCTATACCAGATTATGTCATAATTGTTATTACTAAACTGATTGATTTATTGATTGACGTTTTCATTTTTTATTAGGAGTATTTAATTTGATGTAAAAAAACACCACAAAATTTGCGTCAATTTAAATTTTTAGTTATTTTGTTAGAAGTTCATTTTTATATAATTATTTTAATCGGTATTCGGAATAACTTTTGATTCTAATCAGTCACTGTCGAAACTACTGAATTATTACTTTGCTACGGACTATAACCACAGAGGTTACTGTATCTTAAAATGTAGTAAATTAGCAATAAAAAAGTTTAAGTGGAACGTCGGTTATTTCAAAAACTAAAAAAGAAATAGTTTTGCACAAATTAACAAATTTTGACAGACTCACCTTGTATACAAATTACTGTACACGACATTTACTTTTTTAATTAAAAACAATTATAAGAAACACAAGACTTTCGAAATATTTCAATTTGATCTCTTTATCTTTTTAACACTTTAGCTTCCTTGAGAGAGACTTAAGATTGCAAATTCTTACACCTGTAAAATAAAAAGTAACCCCAACCATATCAGTAAGAGGAAGTTACAATGGATTAAAATGTAGTTAGGTACATCCCATTTTCTTATTCTTTTACAATAAGAATAATACTACACGAAAAAAAAAAATTAATATTATTTTATACCGGGTGACTCCTAAATAGACCGACAAAATTTTATCCTTGGTGGTATCAAATGAGAACATGCTGGAAAAAATATTGAAAAAATTCTTTGTTTAATCGTTCTCCAAATAAAATTTATTAAAGTTATTTTTGAGGTAAAGTGTACGCCACTGATGTGTTCGTAAATAGTATTAGCACAGCTAGTGGAAACCATGGTATTAATTTGATCAAAATGTACTTGATCATTGCAACAATTCATAAACGCCGTAAGTGGCACGGATCAAGGGGGTTCTGTCCCTAAAAAATATCAACGTAAAAAGGGTACAGATTATTTCCATTTATCCTTGGAAAGCTGTGATAAAATTTTGTCGGTCTATTTAAGAATCACCCTGTATAGGCAACAGATTAATTACCAAGAGTGGGAACTTTTTTAACCTGTCCAAGTATTCCCTTAATACTAACTCAAAAATCAATTTTTTCCAAATGCAGTCAAATTCAAAAAAAAAATGGTTGCAATGTCATTTCAAAAATTAAAAAATAATTTACATTTTGACAACAAAATTGATTTTATGACAAATAGCCAAACTTCATGATGCCAAGTAAATTATTTTTGTAGACTTAAGTACAGTTGCGGAATTAAAATTTCGGGCAGTATTGTCATTTTCATAATGTAAACTCTAAAACAACCTTTACATTAATAACCTCATTTTTTACTCTTGTCATGTTTGTCATTTTGACTTATTTACTTTCAAATATAGTCATTTGTGGGATAATAACGGGTAGGCATCTGATCAAAGCGATAATTTAATTACACTTTTACATAATTAATAAATTTCCTACGACATTCAAGTAACAATTTTAACAACAAAAAAAAAGTTTAATTGTCAAATGTCAGTCATGATGAAAGTAAAAGGTAGTTAACTTTTTAAAGTGACAGAAAAATACTGCCCGAAATTTTAATTCCGTTCATTTACACAGGAATAATTAATTTTATGCCAAAATGTGAGAATGACGACCACTTTTTAATATTAATGTGGATCAAGTAGGTTGTAGAGGTCTAAATGGCATATTTAATTTAAAAGCTGATTTACATAAAAAGTGTCATTAATATCATTCAAAACAAATTAAATCACATCAATAATGACAAAAATCTTTCAGTTTGTTGCCACCGTGTTAATTACGTTGTTAATTTTAATTATTTTTTGCTACCTCAAAAACTGGGATACACATATTATTTATTTAAGAAAATTATTTTTAGAGAAGATTGAAGTTATTATTGTATGAATTTTCGCATGGTTGACACCTTCAAATAATCCCTTTCAACGACTACTTCGATGCACATTAATATACGATTAAATTAATATTTCAATTAAATTTCCGATAGAAGTGTCCTATGTGTTTGATATTAAGTTGGTAACATAAACTATCAAATTCATATATCACACATTTATAGTCAATTGTCACTCATTTCCGAGGGGCGACCGCTGGGATAGCCGTCACCTGACACATTCTTATATCACCAATAATTCGGAGTTGCCAACTTAATCTCAAAATCACAGGTGATTGATGAATGAACTCACCTAAAATTGGAAGATGTTCCGGATAATAAAACCCGCCACTGGCCGGCTCTACAAACTTAATATCACAATCGCCTTTATGTCCCAGCCGATAGACATTTGTAGAGCCCGACAACCAGGTAACATTGGCCACAGAACGACTACTTTCCTTGTCCCAACCTCTAATATCCAAAACTCGGCCAACTTTACCATCACCACCATCCTGATTCCCCCATTCCCAGTTGTACCCCCTTACCACCTTAGCCCCAACAAAAATGCCCTTCAATTCGCATTTTCGACCATTTTGTCTAGGTGGCAAATCCACTCTAACAAATTACTTTGATTAAAGAAAAAAAAAACAATTTTAACTCGACTAACCCTAAAGCAGTGGCCGAATCAAACCTTTTGAAAGTGTGATCAAGATCATGCTTATCACCATGGTAACACATATAACACAGATCATAATCATAACAAACGCAACACTTGTATTTCATGCCGCAAATGCCCTGGCTTTTGCAACCATCACAAACAATGTTCGGATGTTTGACGCCTAGAAATAGATAATTAGCTAAATTTCTAATTAATATCAAGGTTCTTATTGCTACAACTTGCCGATGGTGTATGATAACAAATCAGATTATCACTGTTTTAATTAATTTACCTATTTGTGCGTTGTCAATGACACGGAGGTCAAATTTGCCCAAATAGCCCACTCTGTAATTCGTCCGCGTCCCATTGTCCCATTGGACCACTGCAGTCTTATCAGGAGATCCCACACTGCCAGACTTGCCAATTTCGCACACGGTGCCCACGAAACCCTCGCCCCCGTCTGAAATATTTTTATTTACCCTAACCTAATTTTCGTTAATAAATACCTTGGTTGCCCCAAGACCAGTCGGGTCCTCGAACAATTCGAACACCAGGCGTTAACATCTCGTGTTAATAACACATTTGAATTAATTTATTCCATGGAAAATTTAGGGGTGTATTAACCCCTGAATCACTGTCACTGTCCGATACGCACAAACTCGTAATTACTCAATGCGCACACATTTTTTTAATTATTGGTTAATTTTAAATCACGATTTTTACCATTTCACGTTATCGTTCAACTGGCAACTAGAAAGTTGTTTATTGTTGTTGAATTTTGACAGGTACGATTATTCATTTCTCGCAGGTTGGTGTCATTGTGGCTCATGGATACCAACAAAACAGAAAAGGTGCCAAATTTGAACCAAACTTTATTTTAACAGCAAATCTTACTAATGCAAAATAATATAAATTCCAGATCAAAAACCTATTTTACTCTTAAAGTTATCATTAGTTATAGCGGCTTCCAAATTAAAATCCTGATTCAAATCGTTATTATTGAGTAAAGAGTTATCCAAAATTTCATTGTTGAGAATATTGGAAAGTTCATTATCCAACTCACTGAGTGTGTCTTTGGAAAACTTTTCACCGCTTTGGCTATCCAACAATTCGTTTTTATTCACAAATGAGTCATTCGGGAGTGCACATAATTGCAAACTTTCTTGATTTGAAGAAAACCGTTTCTTGTAATTGGGTCCTGGCTCAATCCAATTGGGAAAACTATTTTTATTAAACACATCTATTTGGGGCACATTCTGATAAACCTGGAAAATCTTTGGTCCATTGTTCCCCTCGTTTTTATTACAGTTTTTCGATAAGTCGATAAATGGCATCAAAACTTGTACGATATTTTTCAAAATTGTATTCTGGTTATTTTGTTTTGCTTGCAAACTACTCAGTTCTTTGAGTAAGGTTACATTTTCTTGTTGCAGTACATTTATTTGTGTGCTTATTTTGTCTTGCTGTTTTCGTATGGCTGTTATTTCCGAAGACAAGTTTGCCAGTTCTTCACAATTCACTTTAGAGTGTGTCTTCTTATTCTGCGGTATTTTCCTTCTGATGTTTTTCAAAAGATCCGGTCTGTCTTTCTGGAAATATTTGTGCTGGTACTCTATTTCGGTGCTTCTCTCCACACATATTTTGTGAAAATCGTATAAATTTAACTGGCGAATAAAACTACCCATGTTGTTGTGCTTAAAATACAGAGGTAGGAGTTTCGTAATGAATAGTGCTTGGTTTTGAATTATGAAACTATTTCCAGACTTGCTCCAAGACATTACGTTTGTTGCTTCTTGGTGGTTTAACATTTTCCAGAGCTTGAGAACAAAAGTTGACACAGTATCATTCGAAGTTTTTTCCATCTCTTGAAAGTTTTTGATAATCTCTTCTGTCACAATCATGTCACAATGGATATTTTTTTGATACCATGGTTTTACGGTAACAAAACAATCAAATTTTAAAACAACTACTGGTACTTTTTTTAAATTGTAATTGTTTGTATGTTTAGTTCACCTGTGCGTCAACAAGAAAGAAGAGAATCTAAAAAAATTGCAAAAAATACGTATGCATTTACAATATTTGAATGATCTACTGTTTTATTCGCTCTTTCTGAACCGATTGCGTTGCAACTCACATTTAAAATTGCACTGAATAAAAAATAAAATAAAATATACTTTGTGACAAACAGTAGTATGTCCCTGAATTGAGTTTACAAGAGGAAAAAAAACATCTTTGATTTTACGCCAAAACTTCAAAAGAATAACATTTTTTGCTTGACCTGAAACGAGCAAATCTGTAATTAAAACTTCATTATTCTAACTCAGTAAAAAGAAAAGTGATTTTTTCTCTTGATTTTGGACTTTTAATAATTTTTCTCTGCTTTATAAGTTTTATCACATTGGAGGTTTTATTTTGTTTGACAACGATGTCACTTCAACAATTAATTAATTAATTGAATAATATGATTGTTCTTGTTAAAAATTACTTTTTCTATTTCGGTGTTAAAATAAGTCTATTCCAGCACCCAAATGACGTCATTTGAGTGCTGGAATAAGTCGTTGGCGTTAATTTAATTTTAGTGACGTACTTTCTTCACAATTCATTTTCAAATGTGAAAATAGAAATTATTTTTATTTTTTTACAGCCGTCTAAAATTATTCCACATACTTAAACGTCGCCAACCGTCGCAAAATTCTCTAGAAAAAAAATTGAAATTTTCGTTTTTTAATTTATAAAATGATATAAAGCGGCAAAATAGAAAAAATAGTATAAAGCACTTGTTGCAGAAGGTTCTTCAAGCACTCATTTGTTCTTTAACTCGCCGCTACGCGGATCGTTTCGGAATTTCAAATTTGTGCTTGATACCTTCTGCAACTTTAATATACTATTCTATTTTTTATCTTAAAGCTGTTTTTTGCATTCCTTAAAATTATGTTTTTCACAAACATTTTTGTTTTGTTTAACTTGCGTAAACTCATTTGTCTAAGTGACATCGTTGTCAAAAAAGTAAAACCGCCAATGTGATTAGATTTAAAACGCAGAAAAGAATAATAAGTCCAAAATCAATAGAAAAATAATGAATTTTTCTTTCCAATGACTCGGAATAATGAAATTTTAATTACAGATTTGCTCGTTTTAGGTTAAGCAAAAAATCTTCCTGTTAAGTTTTGGCGTAAAAATAAAAAAAATCCTCTTGTAGTCTCTTCCGGGGACATACTGTACAGGGTGCTGCATTTTGGATGTCCGAATAGGGAATCTCGGAAACTAAGAGATTTAGCCAAAAAAAGAGTAATACATTCTGGGGCTCATTTTTTGAGGAAATAATATTGGTTAAAACCGCATCTCGCTATCGTCTTTTGTTTTCGACTTATGGACAAAAATTGACATTTTAGCGAAATCTAAAAAAATTCATATCTTTGTTATTATAGAAGACACGGATTTGAAATAAAGACATTATCCAGGCACTTTTTAACGAGGAATTTAATAATGTATAGTAAAATTCAGGAGGGTAGACCGGTGCGTCATCAATTTCATTTTTTCTTTACCAACTTAAAAGTGAAATAAAAAAAATAAAACAATGTAAATTGAAACAATTAAAGGGTCTCTATAAGGATGATAGCCTTGAACATTAATTTACATATGTACTTCAACTGCACCACTTAAATGTCATTCATGTTCGAGTGAATTTGTCAATTTGACATTGACAACATTATTGTCGTCGTTGAAAGTCTTTTTGGTATAATTTGCAAGTATTTTTCGTTTATTCGTTGATTTCTTGCTTTTGTTCTGCGTCTCGTTGCTTTCTTTTAATAATTCCTTACGATTAAGTAACTTCCATGAAATCAGGCATAAATGCACTTGCGTTAGTGTAAAAAATTGAAATAATGAGGGGTCACCGATAAAAATTAGCCCCCCATCATCTTTAATTTATTCTACAAAAAATAGGGCCAATCTTATAAAAAACCATTCAAATGCTGTTTTAGTACTTTTACATATTGTCTCTGCTATGGCGCAAACCACACTCTTTAAATAAAATTGTGATTATTTGAGATATTTGAGGTAAATATGAGCGTTGTTTAAGAAGTCTATTATTTAATGAAGTAATAAACAATACAAACTGAAATCGACGCATTATTTTGACTCTCACATAAGTAACTTTCTGGTTTTCATAAGATCAGAATAAATATATAATAAAAGTTTCTTAACGTTTATTGTTTGTTTTCGAAGGATGTAAGATGCAACTTTTTTTTGTAGACGTCTTGAATTTAAACTTTTTCTTTTTTCTTACCTGGAAGAATGCATAAGATCGTCTATGGTTTTAAACTCAATGTAAGGAATTAATTGTCCATGCTCCTTATGTTTATGATGATTCCTATTTATGAAATACAGATTTTGCATCCGTTTTCTTCTCAACTTACCCACTGTTTTATACTAATGTACACTAAAAATTCCGAGTTTTAGATACGACATCCAAAAGCATTGAAAAACATAATGATGTAATGAGTACACTGCATGTAGAATGTCATTTCGAATCTATTACATTAAATTTTAAATTCCTTTGCAAAGAATCGTACAAAGCAACACTTTCATCAATAAAAAACTTCTAACTCGTAGATATTGAATCTAACGTCAAAAAATTGACGTTTTGTCATCGCGATGTAAACGTGGTGACGAGAAACGTCAGATGACGCACCGGTCAACCCTCGTGATTTTTCCCATAGTTAACAATTTTTTTCAGTTATTAGTTTAGCCGTAATAAGATAAACTTGTATTTTTTTAAATAGAAATCATAGGCGGCTATGGCAATTTTGAAAAGCTTATTTTTTTCTGATCTAAAAAATATATATTTGTAACGGAATATTTTTTTATAATTATACTTAAAAAATAAAATACATATTTTGTTTGATAATAGTTGGCCATGGAAAAACTATTTCACTCCAAATGTGTAAATAATAATTAATCAGTGTTTTGTGTATGATGATGAAAAAATTGATAAAATTATGAAAATTTAAAAAATACGATACATTAGGAGTATTGAACAAATATGCAAGTGCCTCAAAACAAAATCATTACGTATTTTTAAAAAATCCAAAAATAGGAAAAACAAATGTGTCAACAGTCAAGTCAACACAATTAGAAAAATAGTAGATTATGTTATTAGGAGTAAAAGTGATTGTTTATGTGGTGAAGCTGAACGTTCATTTTGCCGAACGGAGTGAGGCAAATGGATTCAGCTGAGCCACATAAACTCACTTTTACTCCAAATAACATATACTATTTTATCTGCAAACGAGTCAGATGGAACGAAAAGAGCAACACACCAATAATCAAGTAAATCACCTCAATAATCAGGACGCTTTGCAATAAAATCATAACAAACGTCACGAGTCAGTAAGTAAGTATCAAGTAAAAGTGAAAACGCTTAAGCGTAAAAACAGTGTTTTTACTCCATGTCTGAAAAGTAAAACTTTTACCTGTATCATATAGTCATAAAAGTGGTCACTTTTGTGACGTTTGCAGATAAACATTTTTTTGATGATCTAATGGACGCTGCGGAAATCGAAAAACTTTTACAAACTTTAACTTACCCAAAGGAAGACATGGAAATGTGTAAGGAATTTGAAGAGCCATGACATATTTCGCGCTCCTGATCAAAGATTAACATGTACCACCGAGGTGAAACATCGAATCATCACGGAACCAGTACCTCCTATTTCAAAACGGCCTTATCGAGTACCGTACCATCGCAAACATATTTTGGATAAGGAAATCCAAACACTCTTAAAAAACGATATTATACAAGAAAGTTCTTCTCCATGGTCAGCACCAGTCATCCTTATCGAGAAGAAGAGACACTCTGGCGAAGATCCCGAATTTCGCCTTTGCATCGACTACAGAGAATTGAATAAAGTCACTAAACCAGACTTCTTCACCCTACCAATATTACAAGAAACAATTGATCAGCTAACTGGAGCTTCCTTATTTTCAATCATGGACATGGCCAGTGGATATTTTCAAGTAGAACTTCACCCAGATGATCGAGAAAAAAGTGCCTTCAGTACTCCTACAGGACATTATGAATTTAAAAGAATGGCAATGGGTCTTCGAAACGCACCCAGTACATGGCAACGCCTCATGTACTCAGTTTTCTCAGGCTTAGTTGGACTTGCTTGGTCTACTTAGATGATGTTATTGTGTTTAGTACATCAGATGTCAAAGAACACTTACAACGCTTACGCGATGTTTTTGACAGAATGAGACAAGCCAATCTTAAATTAAAACCCACCAAATGCAACTTTCTTATGAAAGAAGCCAAATATCTTGGACARATCATTTCKGCGGAAGGYATAAAAACCGATCCGGKGAAAACAAAAATCGTATRTGCGTATCCYGTACCCAAGAATCCAAAAGGAGTCAGAGCTTTCTTAGGATTATGCGGATTCTACCGGAAATTCATACCAAATTTTGCCACAATTGTAAAGCCTCTCATTCAGTTAACAAAGAAAGATGTGAAATATCAGTGGGACCAAGAACAAGAAACCGCCTTTAACACACTTAAATAAGCCTTAACAACACCACCTGTGTTAAAATACCCCGATTTTAGAAGACCATTTATCTTAGCGACCGACGCTTCAGGAATAGCCATCAGCGCTATCCTCTCACAGAAATACGAAATAGAACATCCTGTTTGTTATGCTAGCAGATGCCTTAAGGATCCGGAAACTCGATACAGCACCATCGAAATAAAAGCACTCGCCATCGTTTGGGTAGTGAAATATTTCCGATGTTATCTCATAGGCACGAAATTTACCATCATCACCGACCACAGGCCATTAAGATATCTTTTAACCATAAAAGAACCAAGTTCTGGATTAGGAAGATGGGCTATGACACTAGCCGAATTCGACTTTGAAGTCCAATATCGTCCAGGAAAACAACACCACGTCGATGATTTCACTAGAATCGACTATCCTGATGAAACAGAAGAACTGATACGATATATCGATACCGAATGCACTCCCATCATCTACGACCTCGAAGAAATTAAAAAGACACAACAAGAGAATCCTGAAGTTGCTAAATTACTCCACCAAGAAGGGATCTACCAAGCGCCAAACGGACTCATTTATAAGGAAAGAAAACCAGGGGAAAGACAAGACAAATTAATAGTTCCAAAAAGAATGCAGCGGAGGCTCATCCAATTATATCATGACACACCATTCATGGCCCATGGGGACAGGAAAAAGACTACAGAATTACTTTAAAGAGAATTCTACTGGAAAGGAATGACTCAACAGATTCGAAAATACTGCGAGGGATGTCACTTATGTAACATCCCCATCCATCAGCTGAGATACAAACCATGCCAGTTCCAACTTGCACTTTTGGACTAGTGTCTATGGATATAGTCGGTCCACTCAACTTGACAACCAACGGAAACAAATACATACTCACTTGTATGGACTACCTAACTCGTTACCCTGAATGCATCGCAATAACAGATATGAAGGCAGAAACCATCGCAAGAGCCTTCGTTAATAACATCATTTTACGCCATGGAACACCACGAATACTCTTAACAGATTGTGGAACGCAATTTTTATCAGAGTTATTCAAAGAAATCTGCCAAAAGTTAACCATCAAAAAAATACAAACAACTCCATACCGACCATCAACCAACGGAGTAATTGAACGCATGCACCATGTACTCAAAACTATGCTATCCCATTACATCACTGAGGAAAATAGCGATTGGGACGAAATGCTGCCTTATGTACTAATGGCATATAGAAATCGCCCACATGAAGCAACAAAAGAATCACCTTTCTTTTTGATGTATGGACGTGATATGGAACTACCATTTCACTCTGTCCTCAAACCGGATAGACTGGCAGGTATTACGTATTTAGTCGACCATCCTTGAATGACAAAACAAAGTAACTCGTTAGCGACGACAGGATTTCTTCCAATTTCAACACTCGAGGAGCAAATATTTGCCAACCCAAAAATCCGATCTTCTAATTTAGAATATGAAACGGTCTCTCGTACAGCCATGTTATCAACGATTAATGAACAAACTCTTTCAGGAATTGTTAGATTTTCAATTTCCGATGTTAAGCGATTTTTGATTAAGTGATTGTTGTCTGTTCCCAAATATTTTTGTAAGGTGGTTTTGCACGGTAATTTAAGAATTGAATTTCTAGGAAAACTATAGCCTTTCGGCGAACAAAATTTTCATGCGATGCATTGCCGTATTGTATTTTCACTCCACCTCGGAATTTTTTTGTTAAAATTACTAATCTGATCTAAAATAAATGTTGCGCGGGGGTTCATTCGACCAGCTTGTTCCTTAATACTTTTTAATATTTTCCATTCTGCGTCCTCTTCTATTTTAGATTTCTGTTCTTTTGCAGTCATCAATTCTTGCTTTATACGATTGCAGTCGGTTGAGTTTTCTTGTAAGGCATTTATTTGTGTATATTAAATTGTTGATTTCATTTACTGACAGAGAGGTTTGAACGCTAGCAGAAAATGTAGTCGTATTGTTGGCATTATACTCTATATTTGTTATTTTTTCTTCAGTATTAAACTAAAATTTTGTAGTATTGAATGAAAAGCATAAGGAAAAAAGGAATCAACAAACCTCAAATATGGTTGGAATAGTTCCTAAAACTAATTTTCGTCGTTTTCCAGTTGTAATAAAACATTCTTTGGGGAAATGTTTATCGCACACGAGTGCATAATCCGTTAATTGTAGATCTAATAATATTTTAAGCGGTGAATTAAAAATATATATAAAAATTTAAAATGAGTACTTGTATGCTTGGCCAAAATTTCTTTCCATTTTAAATTTAATTCAAAATTTGCCGGCAAGGAATGATACGACGCTTTCTCATTTGGTTGATAATATTTTACGCAACATGTTCGTTTGTGAGGCATTGTGAGGAAATGCAAATTTCAAATTTCTAACTCAAATTTCAAATAATTACGACGTTTGACGCGTGATTTTGGTAACTATGGTAACAAGAAAAGTTTTCGGAAGAAATTAACAGATGGCGATACATTAGAGTACGCTGTCAGAACCACTTTTTTTGCAATGTGAAGGGAAACTTCCTTCATTAATCAAGGAAGCCGTGGTTGTACCAACAATAGTTGAGACTCATTATAGAATAAGACGATTACCCCCCACGGTGGTTCATGGGACTTGGGGTAGAGATGCCCTAAACAAATTTGCATTTCTTAAGACAAAGGTTTGTAGGAACAGATGGTCCGTAACAGAAATTTGTTTTTGGACTTTCATAAAAAAAAAAAATAATTAATTTTAATATTCAGCTGTATTTTGAGATTGTTTCTTTACAAATCTGCATTATCACTTTAATATTAAATTAATATATAAATTCCCAAATGTTTGCCTGTAATAAATTAAAAGCCTACCACGAAAATTCCTGAATACCGCTCTTTTGTAAATCTTCAGGGTAGTACCACCGCAAGGCTGCTTAATCCTCGATAAAGCTTTGCATACGTCAATCTTAAATATTCCTGGTGACGACTATAATTGCCAATTGATTACAAACAAAATGGAACAATTATTCTTCAAATACAACACCGGCTTTGTTATCGTTTTCTTGGAAAGAATGTACTGGAATTTATTGGGTGTTGAAAACAATAATATTTACCAGAATTCTTTGGGTTAATCCCTTTTTGGGATACCTGTTACAATTTTCCAATTTTAATTTAGCAGTCTATTAGTATTGTTTAATCTGTTCATGTCGTTTGTGTTCTTTCCGCTGTGGCGGGTGTTTAAGACTCTTTGATAAAAGTTGAATTCTTTTACGGTCCGAGCGGGTTACGCCACAAGAAGAATAAAATTTATTTGAGGTAGGTTCTCCAGCGTTAATTTGTGGAGCCAATCACTTTGGGAAGATGAAGGATTTAAGCAGTCAGAAATCCAAGTAATTAAATTAACAATAACAATTTATTAAAGAAATGAAAGTGTAGAAAATATTATAAAATAAAACTAAATAAAATAAAAGAAAATCAAATAAAATAAAAGAGTAAACATTTTACTATTCCGTTCATGTTAAGGTTTACATTCCCAATTAAAGAATCTACTGATCTATACCACATAAAGTAATAGTTTAGTATCAAACAACTAACTTAATTCAATTCCTACTAGCTACGTCCAATACAGTTAAAATGTTCAACCAACTTATTCTTATTGAAATTGAAGTAACTATATGAAAAAAGAACATATGTTTGACGCGGCCCAAGAATTGTGTTTCATAGTAAATACTGGCAATTCAAAAGTAGAGTTTTGCTGGTCTGATACCGAAGAGGAGAACGAAGAAATTAAGCATTCAGCCTCTATAAATAAAAAAAAATTAAAATAAATTGTTATAAATAAATATAAAATAATTTTAGATATTATTCACTTTATTAATTCACCAATTGAATTTTTACAAATAAAAGTAAAAATTGCCCTTACTCAATACTCTCAAATTTCACACGGTATCCCGTTCCCGTTTCACGAACAGAACCACTACGCCACTGATTCAAAGCTTACAAAATTCAAATTTACAGTACATTTTGAAACTTTGTTTATACATAATAAACATTTTATTGATTTTTTAAGTGACGATAATTTTAAATGACAACTTATTGATTAATAAATACCTATAATAAAAATATCACACCGCATTCGAGAATATGGTAGAATTCTTTTAATTTTACCCGAATGACATAAACTTTGTTGTCTCTCTCGCTCTTCAAGTAAATAGGTAGGAGCAAGTAAGATAAACATTATGCCGCTCTCTGGTCCCAAGAGTGGTATTTTGTCTTTCTCGCACTTAGGTCGTTTAAAAGAGACAGCAAACTTTAGCACGCCTATCTACTTCACTCAACCAAAATATAACAGTGATTCTCAATAGGTTACAAAATGCAGCAAGAAAAATTGACAATTAATTAATGAATGGATGTTTAATAAAATAAACAGACCGTTAACATTTTGTTTTGCTTGAAAACATACAAGACTTAATAATTTATTAAAAAAGTAATAATAATAATAACAAATTTTAGCTTAGTGGGGTCTCATAGTTTGAGAACGACTGGTGGTCCCTCCTATTTTCAGCTACGATTTTGACTGTTTGCATTTTGTCTCACTCATTCGCATAGTAACAAAAATGACAAAACTATTAGCGCATGGGATTGTGTTATTTGACACAGTTTTACCACAGATTAGTTGCTTGCTAATCTGTGGTTTTACGATAAACGGTAAAAATTAAAAGAATATTACTATAGTATATTAAAGAACGGGTTTCGTAAGGAAAGTTTTGTTGAACAAGTTCAGGTTTATGAAACGAGCAGCGAAACGCAAGTTTTACAAAAACGAGTTCATACAAATGACTTCATGAAACAAGTTTTCGAGGGAGGATTTTGTCAGGTATCTGGACCAACTTGGTATTGCCCAACCCATTGTGCTAAACAAGATAACGGAAAATTTCCATTTATTCATGTAGCAAATTTATATATTTTTTTAATTTAGTCTGCTGTTCTATGGAACATTTTTAGGTCAAACAACGTTTTTGAACAAATGATCAAAAATTAATTTAATTTATTCCAAATTAAAACCATATTTTAATGTCATTTGTCCAAAAATACAAATTTTCTAACATTGACTAAAAACTATATTTTCAAATTGACAGATATTTTTACTAATAAAATATTAGTTAAATTAGTAAAAAAGTCAGAGAAATTCATCGAAATTTAGACTAAGGAGGTCTGTTGACTCCTGGCTTATTTTCTCAATATTTAATTCTATTTTCTAACAAACTATAATGTTAAAATACATGTTACAAATAAATAAACGTAAAAAATCAGAAGTGTTTCCAAAATCAGATTTTCCAAAACTGTTTTATATTATCAAGGGTAATTTTTGTAAGAGTTAGGAAAAGAAAAAATTGCAGTTGTGTTTTTTAAAAACTTCTATTTTCTGTAATTGTAATTTTTACAAGAAATGAAAATAAAAAATGTTTCCACCATGTATCATAGAAACTTTGAACAAAGATAAACAAAATATAAAATTATGAATATTGAAAATATGTATATACATTCTTATTTACAAAAATATGTTTTATTACTTTATAAAATGTAGCTGACTTTTCAACATTTTATTATTATTATTGTTATTCAACAGTTTTTAAACCTTCCTCTGTAATGGTGAATCCACAAGTTTGATTTGATAAGTCAGGCGCAAAAATAATTTCAAATTCTCTGTTTTTCTTATTTTCATATCTGGTGATATTAAAACGGTAAGTAATACAGTTGCTCCAAGCTAATCCTAGACAAGGTTCAGTAATATTTGTTGTTGGATTATCAGTTACCTACATTTCATATAAATTTTAATTGCATTTTTTAATTTTTTTATCATACCTGATTGACACAAACTACTGCAAATCCATATTTTTTTGCAAGTTTATTCAACGAGGTTATTATTGAGATAAAATCTTGACTTCTGTTTTTATAATCAACATCCAAAGATTCGCTTCGAAAAATCCCCGCAATTGAGTCAATCACAACCAATCCCACTTTTTTCACTAGTAAAAGTTTTGGTAAAGAATTGGCTAAACATCGTTTCAACTGTCCCTGCAAATTTATTTTAATGAAATCAATCAAGAGAGATTTACAAAAACATACAACATCCGCTATATGTTCAATAAAAATATTGTCTTCAAAATGTATACCCAAATCGTGATATTTGAGAGAAAATGTTAAACCCAAACTTTTCAGTCTTTTAATAGGAAAAGCATCTTCTGTGGATAAATAGACTACACTTTTTTGTAAACCTCCCAAACTAGTTGGTAACTGTGTCATTAAAGACAGTTGTAAGCAAAACTGTGTTTTTCCCACACCACTATAACCAAAAATTTCTGAAATTCCGTTTACTGCAATACCGCCTCGCGTTATTGCATCTATTGCTGAACACCCTGCACTGATACGCTGCCATTTAGGTATTTCTTTCGCTAAAAATACATTTCGGTATCTACATTTTCCAATTATAAATCAATACCTGTCCGTATTTTCCCGCTTAAAATTATATTTGCACTTTCTTTCAAAACTTCTTCAATACAATTTGAGTCAAGATGCGTAATCTCCATTAATTGGGTTTTCGTATGCCAAAAAAAATCACTTGGTGAGACAATATTTGCTGTAAAAAAATTATTCGTACTAAGTGTTTATAAATATTTTATGTTACCTTTAAGAAGAGATTCAAATACGGTGGGAGACACTTTTTCTTTTAGTTTATCCATTGTCTAAACAAGTTATTTACATTTTTCAAACTCTTGACACATAACCTAAAATTGTTGCTTTTACAGACATGTGTAATCTGTAACTCACCACTAGAGAGCGCAATGGTTGATTAAACATTTTTTGCTCAAATAATGTTATAAAAGTTAAATAAGTCACTGTGATGACAATATGAAATAACTTGTTATTAGGTATTTACATTATCACTTTAATGTTTTTTACAACACAATTATTATTTTAGCCCCTGATATCAGGCAACTAGCAATTCAGCTGGCGTTTATTTCATTTCCTCCAATGCTTTTGCCGTATGTCTTTCTCTGTTTACGTTGGTCAGATCAATTTTCGAATAAGACAACAAAAATGTTGTGTCTTTAAGATATGAATCCGTTTTCGGAATTTGAACACATACAAATCGAAGAAGTATGCCGAATATGCCTTACCAAGAAAGATCAGATGAGTTTAATTTATGAAACTGGTTTAGCAGACATGCTTTTGGAATGTGCTTCTGTCCAGGTAAGTGAACAATTAAATGAACAAAAAATTGCATTTTAATTCCTTAAGGTAACACCTGAGAATGGATTGTTTAATTTAGTATGCCAGCAGTGCCAGAACGAAGTCAGTCGTTGGTACCTCTTTAAACAGCAAGTAGTCCGATCATTTGAAGTCGGTAAATGGTTATTGGAGAGGCGAAACAAAAAAATTGAAAATGATGAATTAACAAATGCAATAAAAGATGAAGTCGACATTCCCTCAACTGATTTTGAGAAAAGTGGCTTAAATTTTGATGTAAATATTGCTTTCAACACATTAGATGACAACAGTAGAGATATACAAAGACTGAAAACGGGCTTGGAATTCAGTAGTAATCAAACCAGTTTTGTAGTCAGTAACACCGATAATCAAATTTTGAACACCCAAAGCGACTCTCAATCAAAAAAGAAGAAAACACAAGAGGACCTTGTTTGTAAAATTTGCCATAAACAATGTGTCACCACCAATTCCTATAACCGGCATATCAGAACGCATGACAATGCTAGACCATTCGTTTGTAGCAAGTGTGATAAGGCTTTTAAGACAACCCAAGTGTTATCAGAACACATGAAAAGACACTATGACGACAGACGCCACCAGTGTGCATTATGCAGTAAAAAGTTTTACTCAAAAGCGAGTCTCAACGACCACTTGCGGAGCCACACGGGGGAGAAACCTTTCAGGTGTGAAGTATGCGAAAGGGCTTTTGGGACGAAGGCTATCCTTAGGCAACACTTGGGGGTAATTACACACACAACTAAACGATTTGGTTCTTACAATTTTTAATTTTCTTCAGATTCACACAGTGCGTGAGAAGAAACACCAATGCAACATTTGCGGTAAATTCCTGCTTTCTGCCGGCAGTCTAGACACCCATGTAAAGAAACATTCCGGTATAAAACCATTCTGCTGTTCCAGTTGTGATAAAAGTTTTTTCACTAAAGAAGCAATGCAGAGACATTTCGACGCAATCCACGACAGTGATAACAACTTCCTGTGTAATTTCTGTTCAAAAGTGTGTTCAACAAAAGTCCATCTTAATAATCACATGAAAAAGAAACATCTAGGTTTGGGGAAACCCCCAAATGCGCTGTGTACCGAATGTGGGAAACAGTGTGGTTCCGCAGCGGAATTGAAGGTCCATGTGAGGGTTCATACTGGAGAAAGGCCTTACACGTGCGATATTTGCAATAAAAGGTTTATCGCTAAAGGTAATCTGAATTCGCATAAGTGGAGACATACGGGGAAGAAGCCGTTTTTGTGTAATCATTGTGGAAAAGCGTTTGGGGAAAAGTCCACGTTGAAAGTACACGAAAGGACACACACAGGGGAACATCCGTATAAATGCGAAATTTGCGAAAAAGCTTATGTGCAGAGCAGTGCGCTGAAGACACATATGAAGAATCACGGGAATCAGTAAGAGATTTAGTTATTTGGTGTGGATTTTGGGTGATAAAGACTAGTCAAGATTTTGAATTGTTTGAGTAATATGACTGATTTTTTTATTTTGTTTACTTATTTATTGCGATCTAATTGGTGACAAAATAATAGAACTCCTTCCAGAAGAGGAAAATAAGGAAAAACATCTCAAGTAATTAAAAAAAATGAGATTATTTTATTATTTTGCTTTTCGTATGAAATAAGTTCTTTTCATTTTCGTAATTTTATTTACAAAAGTCCAATCATACAGGGTGATTTTTAAAAAACGGCAAGCGCCGTAAGATTTTTATTTATGGCCTAATAATTAATTTCAAAAATTAAAAAAGAAATTAAATTGCTTTCAATATAGTGTAAGCTGCGAATTATAGAATTTTTTAAAATGTTATTGCTTATTTTAGGCTATTTTCAACTTTCTAATTTTAAATTGGAACCCATCTTTTCTTCTTTATAATTTAGTGCAGACATGTAAAAATTATTTCACTTTTACTAAAAATCATTTTCAAAAAAATTGTCAAAGTTAAAAAAATATTAAAAGTTAATAAAATCTTGTATAGCATGATGTCAAATAAAATAATGCCATTATTGTAATATCAGAAAGCAACAAATAAAAGAAAATGTTGCCAATAGGAGACATTCAGCAAAGTAGCTGACCTATGGTGGCAGGCTAGAAACTATCTAAATGGGGAAAACATATTTTGAAAATATCAGTTATCCATTTTTGTCAATTTGACAAGTCAGTTTAAATATGAATAATATGGTGTACATGTCTGTACCAAGAAAACTAATATCTTCCAAATTATGAAAAAAATTGGATCCCTATTTAAATTATAAAATTGAATATAGTCCAAAATATACGACATTTGAAACAATTCCACAATTGTCAGCTTTTAAAAGCCATTTATTCAATCCTCTATGTTAAAATTGAATTTTATCTACTCTTTTCTTCATGTTAAAATGAAATTTTATCGTCTAGAATCTAGACTGTAGATAGCAGATGTTAGACTATTTCTTTATCAACTGTTATGGGTAGATAAAGTAGCATTTTAACCGCAAGGATAGATAAAGTAAGACTTTAACAGCAAGGGTAGATAAAATGTTTTAACTTTTATTAATAACCATAGTAACGGAGCTCATTGCGATTTTTGGGCCAAAGATTGTACTTTTTTTTTGAAATTTAATTTTTTTTCTTAAACTTGAAGTCCTATAGAATTTTTTTTTGTATTACACACGACGATAATGATTGTTTATCTACTCATGAAATAACTTAACCTTTTCACTGGTAGATAAACAATCTCTTTATCGTCTTGTATAATAAATAACTATTAATTTTTGAAATCTGGTCATAAATATAAATTCTATAGTGCTTGCCGTTTTTTGAAAATCACCCTGTATAAATATTTAAATGCATTTGTATCGTTGTGTACTAAGTACTACAAATACATAATTTTTAATGAAATGTCTTTTACTTTTAAAATTTCTCAATTACTTTTTCTTTAATACAAGTAATAAAAATTAGGTAATCAAAACTTTCCGATTCTAAAAAACCTTTATTCAGTTCTAGTGCTACGCCCGACAGTCTTTGGCATCTTTTTGTTAGTGGAATCCTCCAATTCCTTTTGCTTGTAATAATGAGGAGCAACCTCCAATAACCACTTACTTTCAATTTCAATAACTTGTCTCATAAACTCTTTGGTGGTAAAAACCAGTTCGTGATAAAGAACCCACCTTGGTAAATCTTCAAAAAGGGCGCTATTGGGATGTATTGTGACACTCTAAAATTTCACCTCAGTACAAAAGGAACTACAAATTTACTGATAAAAACCTGATTATGTTTAACCGTTTTGTAAGTCCCCCCTTTCGATAAGCGAGCAATGTGGTAAAAATAACCGGCGGTTATAGCCTTTTTAATGTTTGCAGTTTCGGTAACATTTGAAACCATATCGATTTCAACTCTTTGCATTAAACCTACCAACTGTTCCCTAACATCGCGAGCTCTTTTCATAGATCTGTAACAAAATAAAAATAAAAGTTATTTCAAACAATCTATTGGAGTACTTAATTCACCTATATTGTATAAAATTTTCGTAGCACCATTGAGTTGAATAATCGGAATCTCTCCATTGGTTGTACACATTTAACAGACTTAAATGGTCACCCCCGATGTGATTGAAGTTTTTTCGTGCTGTGTCAGCATGAATGATTTTATCCTTGGGTCTGTAAAAAATCGCTCCATTGACCGAAAGCATTGCAGCTATGGTCACAATCTCTTCTGAACATTTGTATCTGTAAAAGTGTCAACCAATAACAATTTAGTACAAAAGGTAAAAATACTTCACTTTTCTGAAGCTAGCAACATTTTCGCCATCATCGGATCAACCGGAAACTCTGCCATCCTCCTCCCCAATTTGGTCAACTCCCCGTGATGATTCAACGCCCCCAATGCATACAACTGCTCCAGCGCCAACACAAGTGTTTCATGTGGTGGCGGATCAAGAAAATCAAAATGCACCAAATCATTAATCCCCAATGCCTTCAACATCAACACAGCATTCCCTAAATTAATCCTTTGTATCTCCGGCACTGTATTATCCTCCAACTCGTGTTTATACGACCAGGCGGTGTACAACCGGAAACATTTGCCGGCGGCCACTCTACCCGCCCTCCCGGCTCTTTGATTGGCCGACGCTTTCGAAATTGGTACCACAATCAAACTCTCCATTCCCGTTCGCGAATTGAAATGATTCTGTTTAGCAAAACCGGGATCGATGACATAAATGATGTTGTCTATAGTTAAAGATGTTTCGGCGATGTTTGTCGCGAGGACGACTTTTCGGGCACCTGGAGGAGTCGGTTCGAAGATTTTCGCTTGCATGTCACTTGGGAGATTCGCATAGACGGGTAAAATCATCAATTCCTTAACTTTGGAACCTAAACGGCGGACACGATCTTGTAGTAATTCCTGACAAGTTTCAATTTCGTCCTGGCCGGTTAAAAATACAAGAATGTCACCTAAAGGTTGAGTCGCGTGGATTTGGAGAACGGAAACGACACAAGCGTCAACGTAATCCGCCTCAGGGGCTTTAGTGTAGTAGATATCAACAGGAAATCGACGTCCTGGAATCCGGAAAATGGGGGCATCGTCGAAAAACTCGGAGAACTTTTGGGCGTCAAGAGTCGCACTCGAAATCAACAATTTCAAATCGGGTCGAAACCGGGCGATGTCTTTGACTAGACCGAACAAAATATCCGTATGTAACGTCCTTTCGTGGGCCTCATCGATTATCATAACACTGTAAGACTGCAAATCCGGCTCTGATAAAAACTCGCGATGAAGAGTACCATCTGTCATGTATTTAATAATGGTTCGTTCAGACGTACAATCTTCGAATCTGATTGCATATCCGACTTCGTTTCCGAGTTTCACTTCCATTTCTTGGGCTACACGAGCCGCCACTGACATCGCAGCGACTCGTCGAGGTTGAGTACAACCAATTTTTTTACCGTCATTGGTGAAACCGGCTTCGTGTAAGTATTGGGGAATTTGGGTTGTTTTTCCAGAGCCGGTTTCACCCTCGATTATCAAGACTTGATGTTCGCGAACGGCTTGAATCAAGTCGTCTCTGAATGGGTAAACTGGGAGATTTTTCTTCGTTTCTTGGATGTCGAGCTTCTTTTTTTCTTTTTCAGTTAATTCGGGCTCTTTTTTCTCTCTTGTACCTGAAATGGGTAAGTAAGTAGCCCAGTCAAATTAGACAAATCGGTGGAAAAAAATCCTAGAGAGTTGGATTTTTTTAAACGCTTTCTTTACACTTGGGTAAACGTATATCAGAAGTCCCCCAAGGTGGGGGGCGAGCTCTAGGAGGGGGAGGGTGTTAAAGGTGTCTTTTTTTGTTTTTTTGCTTATATCTCGGAAATTATCACTCCTATAAGTTTTTATCTTCTTATCAAAATTAAAGCTTACAAAATTTCCTACAAAAAAATGGTCCTTTGCATTTTTGTTGTAGGACTAACCGTAAGCGAGTTATAGGGCAGAAAAAAACATCATTTATTTGCATTTAAAACAGAATTAGTCTTGTAATTTAAAAAAAAAACTGACATTAAATTAATTAAAATTACTGGGTCCAATACTTCATTAAAGGAAGGGGGAGTCACGAGTCATACAAACTCATCGTTTATGTTTTTATGCAGAATTTTCTGTAGAAGTCCATTTCTGCATCAAAATTTCATACAAAAACCATAGGCTTCAAAAGTTTGGAGTCTACATAAAATTGCATTAAAAATCCTTTGAAACACATTTCATTAGCATTTAGTAAGTATTTATAATGTGTAGAGCGTTCCCCAACTAAGCTGGTCTGCCTGAAAGGTGACTCGGGTGTAAACATTTAAACGGAGATATAAATAAAAAATTTGGATGAAAGAGAGAATCAATCTGTAAGGGGGTTAAATGGCGTGTAAATGTTTAGACAGAGATATAAACATAAAATTGTTTAGAGATGTAAAGGGACACTAAAATCAGATTTTCGAAAATTAGTTTTTAAGGGAATAAAACGGTGTACACATTTAAAGGGATATAAAAACATTAAATTTAGAAAATATGATCCTTAGAGAGTATACCTAGAACTGCACTTTTCAAATTTTAATGAAATAAAATTGAGTTTAAATGCTTAAAAACAAAATTAGAAACATGAAATTTCGAATTTTGAGTGCAGAAGCACACTGAGACGACACTTTACGAAAATCAACATTTAATATTTATCCATAAACATAGCCTACTATAACTGAATCCTATACATAACATGTAATTATCTAGCTTTATAGAGTACCTAAGCCTATGGAATGGTTTTGTGAATGGGCTTTTTCCCATTTTATATCAGAAATACACGCGGACAAAGTCGAAGGCAAATGCTAGTTCAGCATATAAGGATGACTCGGAAGACTTGATAGACCCTCGTGGCACCCTCTAATAAACTGTTGGATCCAATTCAATTTACTGTGAGCTTTATTTAAATCATCGATATTAAATCATCTATCTATTAATATTGTACTGAACAAGAGTGTAATTCGGCTTTCAATGTTTAAGTTGAAGACGAAGATGCAGCATATGAGGACGACTCGGAAGACTTTACAGACTCTCTAATGAAGTGTTGTACCCAATAAATTCAATTGGCCTTCAGTTTTTTCAAATCACAAGATTAATTCTGTTTTAAATGCGGATAAAGCACATTTTTTTAAATGATGTTTTTTTTTCAGCCCTATAACTCACTTACAGTTAGTCCTACAACAAAAATGCAAAGGACCATTTTTGTAGAAAATTTTGTAGGCTTTAATTTTGATAAGCAGGCAAAAACCGTTAGGAGTAATAGTTTCCGAGATATAAGCAAAAAAACAAAAAAGACACCTTTAGCCTCCTCCCCCTCCTCGAGCGCGCCCCCCACCTTCGGGGACTTTTGATATATGCCTATCCAAGAATAAAGAAAACGTTTTTAAAAAATTCCAACTCTAGGAATTTTTTCCACCGATCGCCCTATTTTTGTCTAATTTGACTGGGCTAAATTTCAGAATGATATAAAAATATTGATTGACTGACCTGGCATTTGCAAAACTTGGATAAAGTCAATCTGGTCCTCTAGAAGTAAATCATATTCATCTTTCTTCATGGAATCTTTAGCCCCAAATTTGAAGACCGCCGATGCCATTTGGTCCTTCTCCCATTTCTTCTGTTCCGATTGCGGTACCTTTTCAAACTCATCAACTTCCACATAATCCGCTGTTGAGCCTTTACCCAAATCCCTAGGCATGTGATACCTCTGCACCCTTTCCAGTTCACGCGCTTTTTCATGTTCCTGTGCCAACCTCAACAATTCTCTCTTTCGGTCACGTTCCTTTTTCTCTCGTTCTGTTAAACTAAAATTTCAGATTCACATTTATCTTAAACTAATTTCAATAACTCACATTTCTTCTTCAAAAAGGTACTCATCATCGGCAATATCTTCTTCCAGTTCCGCAATTTTATCATCTTTACGTTTCTCTAAATATTTCCGTCTTGATTGTACCCTTAAGGCAGGAATCATTTTTTCGCGATCTTCCGTTTCCATTTTGAGCCTCTTGGCGGCTTCTTCATAAGCTCTTCGGTCTGATGCTTGGACAATGTTTCGGACTTTAGCTTCATCACGTTTTTTAAGTCTACTGGCGAATTCATCACGTTCTTTCAGGTCTTTACGACGAGCTTCTTCCTCACTGTCGATAGACTCGGAATCAGAACTCGATTCGTAGCGCTTACGTCCCTTCTTGTCTTTTTTGCCCATGGTGAATAAAGTACAGTAAAAGTGTTCACAATAAAATATTACACCACCTGCTTTACTTATAATAATGCACTTTATGTTTAATTAACAAGTGTTTTACTTAATTTTGCATTCTTTCATCAACAATAACATAACCTCTAAACGTCAAAACAAATTTTACAAGTAACTCTGACATTTAAGTCCCGAAATACAAAAATTCAGAAGCTGCGAAACAAACACTGAATCTTCCCAAGTTAATTTTTTTTCAATTTAAAAATGTAGGTATAAAAAACAACAGTACATCGCTTTGCAATGAGATTTATTTCTTATCACATAATTTTACCAATTAATGTTTTCTTTTAAATTTTATATCTAGTGATTTCTGTTTCTTTTTTACATCTTATCTATCACAACTTCCAATTCCAAGGTATACAAACAACTCCATCTGAAAGAACAGAGTAATAAGTAGCTACATTTAAATGTATACCGCTTAAATATTGTTCTATATCAATTTTTTTCTCTAAAAGGCGCTCACAGCATTTAATCATTAGATCTGGAGTTACATTATCATCTTTCCCAAGATTAAATAATTTGAATTCATCCATACATTGTTTTTGCAAAGAACGTTCTATGTATTTATTGCTGAAATAAAAAAGTTAAACGTGAATGAAACTACGTTTCCTACAAACTTTTTATATTCTGTCATTTTTTCCTTGGCATGTTCTAAATTTGTTGTAATAAAATTGACCAATAAGAATCCAGGTAGTGAAGACGGGACAATAAATTGACCAGTGGGAGAAACCATCAACGGTCCAGCTTCCCTGAAATAATCATTGACAATTAAATTTAATTAATTTAAATAAAAATCTTTACGTTTCAACAACAATCTCAAATTCTTCTAGTGATTGTGGCCACTGCTTAGGGAACCCCCTTCTTCCCCTGTAATCACTTAAAGAAGTTGTAATTTGTTGCAAATTCCGTTCGTATTCCCCGGCCAAAACTTTCGGCATAAATTTTCTGTAAAAATTAAGTAAGAAAGCGATTATATAACAACATTTTTTACCTCCTGCCGACTTTGATTCCGCGTAAAACCTGCGAGACCGATTTTTCAAAGCCGGGTATTCGGAAAAGAATTTTATCGTGACTTCTTACATTTTTTATCAACTGTAATCAAAAATTATTTTCAAAACTACTTTCAAATTTTGACTTACATCGAGCCAATTGTGTCTGACTTCCCCACTGTTGAGCATAATATGTCCCTCTAAACTGATCCCTGTAAAAGGGGCGAAAACGAGGGTACGGTCTTTCAAAACATGCATGACTTCCGGGTGTTGTTCAGCCAGAGACATAAAGCTTTGCAAACAGCCCCGAAAGTGGGTAACATTCCAGCCGCAGTCCCAGCGAACGTCTGTTAATTTCCACTGTTGTGCGATTTTTTTTCGTAAACGGTCGACCTCCTCTCGCAAAGGACGATTAGCTTCTAATTTTTCTAAGGCACTTTGGTAATTCTTAACTAACCAGTTTTTTAATTTGAGGGCTTCCTTGGCCTCGTTGATTTTTTGTCGCATGACAATTGGGCCAAAAATCGGGTCATTTTCGTTCACTTTTGAAAAATCTATGTTGTTGGTGTTGATTCTGACGGTTTCTTTTTTGGGTTCGGGCGGTTTGGGTATTTTATCTACGTATTCGGTAGGTAAATCACAGGCTCGAAGTATTGTTAACACAGCTTCGCGAATATCACGTTCACTTATATAGATTTTGATCAAACGGAAAGTGCCTACATGATGTTTGAATTAGGAAAAGGTTTTGCTAAATGACTTAATACGAACATTATACCTTCTTCGCATTTTTTGTCTCTCAGATAGAATTGTAAACTTGCAGGTTTAATCCAACGCTTGGCTTGTAACATCTCCATAATTGAACTTAGTTGCTTGAGCGAATTTTCATTTATGGCCTGGAAAAAATCACAATTTTTCTGTATTTTTTTTTAAATTTTAGTATAACTACTCTTTGACTAGGATATTGACCAAACAGATCTGGATGTACATTGAAATAGAAGGGTCTTAAAGCTGTTGAAACCTCTGTGGTGGTCAAGTGTCGAACGCATGTGACAAGTTTTTGGTGTACTTCACCGCTACAAAAAAATAAATTAAAAAAATCAGTAACACTTACCTATTTCCTTTCTTACTAATGTCTTAAAGACTGCAACATTTTGCAAAATAAAATTATTTGACATTGTCAAGTTTATTGACGCAATTATCTTTGGTTATGTCTTTTTATCGTTGAGGAAATTGGATAATAGAGAAATCCCACAGTGTCGAAATTTTCAAATTTGTTAAAAGGACCAGTTGAGTTAACTGTTTTTTATTTTGAAACAGATACACGTAAAGTGTTCTTTAGGCCTTAAAACTCCCATATAAAAGAATTTTAAAGAAGAAATGTGTAAATTAATGTCACTGTGTACTTTGACATGAGAATGAGATTTTTTCTTTTTAAATCGAGCGCGCTCTGATTTTTTTTTCAATTTGACATTTTCGGCAAACAGTGGTGTGTGGAAATTCGAAAAAAATCGAGAGTAACTAAATAGAGTAATTATTATATCAAAAATGAAATAGTGGAATGTCTAAACTGTTATTAGTGCATTTTATCAAGTGGCGCAGGTGTTTTTTGCGAATTTTATGTCCAAGGGCGAGCCCTCGAAAGCCGCGGATTTTTTACAATCGGCGGGACCTATGTAAAATAGAATTTATACTCACTTGCTAATACAAAAGAGATAGATGGTAAGCCCTAAATAAAGTGTCGTTTAAGACTTCAAAAGCCCTATATAAAAGAAATTTGGCCAAGAAATGTGTAATTTGAGGTTAAGAAACCATTATTTGTTATACTCCTTTGCAGTCAACAACCGACCAGCAGGATATCGCAATGACTTTATGTGTGAAGTCATAGTGGATGATGGACTGGATGAATATTACATCCAAATAATCCTCGACTTAATTCCCCACATGATACTCGAACTGGTGGATCAAGTTGTGTGATCCACCAGTCGCATTGAAGGAAGAAATTGTCTGATTTGTGAAGAGTGTGAAGTAGAAGATTATTTTAAAATGTTGTATAAGAATATAAATAGGTAATTATTAATTATTATTTAATTATTATACCAGGTGTCCGGTTTCAAACACAAACATAGGAAAATAATGTTGAATGCGATTTTTAAGTATTTTGCCAATTTATTTGGTAATAAAATAAACAGATATCTAAATAATCAAGAATTTAATTGGTTTTTAATAAAAACAACAAAAAGTAATAATGAAAATTAAATACGTTTTGACTTTAGAAGTCTTTTCTGCATTGGAGTTATTATTCATTTTAACTTAACTCCAAATAAACTGTAAAACTTTGATGTTTTTGACAAAACCGCATACTTATTTCACGTATTGATAAATTTGAAAATTGTATTTTAAAACAAAAATACTATTTTTCTTCATATTTTTGGAATCATTTGATGCAAAATAATTTTATGTTCCGATAGGTATCATCACCTTATTTGTTGGTTGTATTGAGAAAAATTCTTTCGCTTTCCACCTAAAAAGCAATTTTTTAGCATAAATTGAGTTAAGTTGATAGAACTCACCATGTGTTCAAAATCTGGTGGCGAACTGACGTTGTCAAAAATGACTGAATTTTGACACTAAACTTTAAGTAAACAAACAGTTTTTATTTATTGTAATTAGAACAAAGAAGGTGCAATTGGCCATTTTTAAGCAAAGAAGAGTCTTAAAACAAATACTTTTTAAAAATGCAATTTTAAGTAAGATTAACATGCATTTCTCCTATATGGCGCAATACCTGAATAACAAACATCTACTCGGTATATTATTTAAAAAAATTGGATTCTTAATAATAAAAAGATACTCTTACACGATGGTGACAAAGAAAAAAATTTACTCGTAGAGTTTTTCTTAGATTACTTCGATTTACTTCGAACTTCTTCGAACACTGTTCGAAGAAAAGTTTGCCAATATTCAATTTCAAATTTTATATCATTTTAAAGGGCAAGGCCATCCCTTTAGAATGGCCTTTATTCGAAGGAAATCGGCCTAATAGTTATTGAGTAATGATTTTTTAAAGTTAAAGTATTTTAAATTCATTTAAATTAGAAAAAAATTATTTAGTTCAAAGTGTGTGGACTTTTTAATTTTTTTTTAGTGCATTTGATTTGTTTCACTGAGACAAACAAAATGATATAAAATTTGTCAAGTTGTCACGACATGACTTTTTTTTGTCGCCCTGTGTTATTTGGTACGACCGGGCCGACCCTGCTGTCCCAGACGAGCCGTCACTGATTTTAGGTACTTGAAACAAAAATAAATATTTTATCACAAAATGAGTTAAGTTGATGAAACTCACCATGTGTGCTATACAGATGTTACATACATGTATTTATTTAGTATAAGTTCAAATTAGTAGATAGATTAGAGCTTGTACAGAGAAATTTATAAATACTCTAAAATGTGTGCGAGGTTTCTTTTGGTGGATCCAATACACCAAGGATTTTGTAGTGTTTTATTATTAGCATTTTAATAAATAAGTAATGTTATTTTATTTACTGCAACGTAACATAATATTTATTATAAACTGTAAAATTTTGCCTTAAAAGCAATTATTCGCCCGGACCGTGTATTTAACAGAACAGTAAAAAATATAAAACAATTTAATTAGTAGTTTTATTAATTTATTATTATTATTAATATAAAACAGACTGATCTTCCAAACTTACATTGTTGTATTCGTTACATTTACATGAAAAACATAGTCTTAAAAACATATTATAATCACTATCATAAAAATAAACATAGATTAAATGATACTTGTTATAATAAATTTTAATGTAACTATCGCAGATTAAAAGACATAAAATTGCGAATTTACCGCTCAAGGCACTGATTAGAATTTGGCAAAAAGCACAAAAGACAAGATCATCAACGCCGTCTGTTGCATATGCTATCAAACATTGAAATTGCGTTGAAGATGTAGAAATCAAAATTACAATTTGGATAATGTTCAGATGTAGGAAGATTATATTTGTTGTTTCTTCTCGCAGTTTTTTAAATTTAACAATGACGAAAATAAAGAAGGCGTTGGCTACTGTAGACAACAAAGCCATCACGATGAGCGACCCGAGAAAAATACTTTCGCTGTCCATCTAAAAAGCCATTTTTTAGCAAAAATTAAGTAAAGTTGAAACTCACCGTATGTAGATATTGTATAGTAGATTGACTGCGTTTTACGAGGGTGGATCCCTATGCTCCACCCCTGACCCCCTTACAGTCAAACTACAGTGGTATTATATTTTTTATTTTTTGACATAGTCTTCCCCTACATAATGCACTTGGTCGATCTAACATCTCAATAGTCTCCAGGAAAAATTTTTGTCCGACCTCTACAAACCTCCTCTCTACAGCTTGTATCAGTTCATATTTCCACTCTTTACTTTGCAGTTTTGGTTCGGGATCATAGTGGTGCACCTATGACTCGTCTAGGGTCACATACGAACTAAGAAAGTTTTCTTTGTTTGTTTGTTGGTACTTTTCCAAAAGACGCTCAAAATGACTCCATCCTCGTTGAGCTGGACAACTTATCACCACCTAGGTTACTACCACCAGCCAATAAGGAGTTGTTCCAACGTCATGATACAACCACCAAGAGGACGAGCAGGCACTGAGAAGAACCTCACCCTCAAACAATAAGAGGTCGAAACCGAACCAACTTCTTCAACCTTAAGAAAGAGTGAGGAAAATGATTCGCCAGGCAAATGCATCGGTTGGAACAGAGTTGTAGGGATTAATCCATCCCTACATGGCGCTTGGAGGAAAGAAGTCAAGTTTTAAAAAAGAATCCTATTTTAGCCGAGACGATTATTAATGACCTCTTCAAATAGGAGGATGAATTGGAGAGGAAAGTAAAACAACAAAGTCACGAGGAGACAATCCTCCAAGTGCAAATAAAGGAGGAGAATAGATGTAGTAAAATAATTTTAAATATTATGGTAGGTTTATAAAAAAAATATGTTAGATTAGTTAGTTATAGTTAAAGTTTATTTTCTAATTGTTAAAATAACAAAAATCTAATCTACGAGGGAAGTCAGCATCTCGTAGTTCTTGAACTAACTGCATGAGATAGGGATGAAATTTACTAGTTTTTAAAATTCTAGAAACAGAAGATTGGCTTATGCCCACTTCTCTTGCAATTGCTCTTTGCCCAATATGCCGATTTTGTTCAACAGTCTCCAACACCAGAATTTCCTTTTCTAAACTAGTCGCAGTTCGTATACGCTTACTTGCAGGCCAATTGTGACACAAACACATTTCCAGTCGTTTAAAAATTTTATGCGTAGGATGTAGATACTCGTTCTGGATTTTGCCGAGCGTACAGTTGGAGACAAAATACTTTGGTCGTCACTTTTCTGACACTTTACTGTAATTCAAGCTTTAACGTTAAAATGAATGACAATTTCAAATTAATGACAGCTATTATATTTTCCTATCAAAAATATGTACATACAACTTGTCAACTATAATTGACAGTGGCTAAAAAAATAAGGTTAACAGTCCTAAAGCATGCTTTACAATTTAATGTCACTCAAGTGACATTGACGACCAAAATATTCTGTCTCCAACTGTATGAATCGGCGGCAAATAATAATAATAATAATAAAGGTCTTTATTAATAAATTAAAAGTAATACAAAGATGCGGAGGCGAAGTCTAGCTTGAAGCTATTCAACTTAACCTCAAAAGAAAATTAATAGAAAAAAAAAACAATTATAACATAAAATAAAAATAATTATTATAAACAATATAAAATTTAAATGAAAATAAATTCGGAAGTTACTTAATAACTGAAAGTAAAGAAAGAAATCGTTGCCAGTCACTCAAAAACAAAAAGAAAAAACAAGAAAGAATTCTTTAAGAAATAAAAAAAAATAAAAAAACAAAAATTGAACAGAAATAAATTCTTTTGCATTTATTTTTAACATCAGTTCACCAACTCAGTTTACTCAGTTGAACAAAGTTAATTATTCAAGAGTAAGTTCTTAATTTGACTCTTGAACGTAAACACTGAATTTCCAGAATTAAAGATTTCGATGTATTTTTACCAGGTGCACCATAAGTTAATATCATATCAGTTTTTTCATGATTTGTAAATGAATATCTTGGCATTTTTTAAACTTTGAGACGTCGTCTGCGTTGACGCTTTGAAATATTTACTTGTCAAATGGACGACACATTCTTTGATTCTCGATATTTTGAAAGTTTAATTTTGAATCAAGGAATAAGTGCATAAATGTATTATGAGTTGTCTGCCAAGAGGGGTCAAGTGGGTCATTTAAGCTGAATCACTCTGTATGTCGGCAACTAATTCCAGCTCATTTTGCCGTTTTACCTTTCAACTGGTCATTTTACTTGACGTTTCACGTGCACTTGGTTCAAAAACAGACATACGTTCTCGGATGCAAAGATGACTCGATTACAAATTGTCTTGATCGCTCGATAGATCTTGTACAGGGTCAGTCACAGGAGAGTTACTTCTGAAATAATGTGGGCAGCAACACATTACACAATTCACATAGGCGTCTAGCTTCATTTTTAAAAATTATCGAGCGATCAAGATAATTTGTAATCGAGTCAACCTTGGATTCGAAAACGTATGTCTGTAAAATGTCAAGTAAAATGACAAGTCGAGGAATAAAATGGCATGATCAAAAAGGTGACACTGGTCAACAAATTGGAACAAATTTTCGGTAACATTGATTAAACTACCTTCCACGTTTATGATTTTTCACTCTGATTTCGAAAATTTTCACAAAAATGTCTCATCACGTATCATTCGTATGTTACCAACTTCGTTCTGACACCCATGTTAAAGCAAAAGAGTACTGAAAATAATTCAACTAAATATTTAATTTATTTTATTATGAGCATACAATATTTTAATAAACTAACTTTAGAAACATTAAAATAGTCATATATTACAATAAAATAGTGAAATCTCAACATTTTCTTTTGTTAGAAAATGAAATTCATGTAATGGTACATTACAAGCGAGATGGTAAGTATGGCATTACCCCAAGTGCTTATGTATACGATCGAGAGGCGCCAGCCTTGAGATTGGAGAAAGCACAAAGGGTAATGCCATTACCACCGAGGTTTGTATGCTATTTTATTCACAATCACATTATTTTCAGTCAAAAATTTGAGTAAAATAAAATTCTAACTAAGTTAAGGTCCAAACGTGAAAATATTGAAATAATGTGTGAATCTGATTTAAAATCGTCGAAATGGAGCAGTGTATTCTCCCAGAAGTAAGAGAAACTGTTACAAAAGCAATTGAATACAAATTTAGCAAAATATTATGCGTAACTTGACAATTTGAAAGAAAAAAATCCCGGTATTTTTGTAATTTTAAGATTGGCTATCCTGCATATTACCAAGAGAAGCAATATTATTACTCCTTGTGAGATTTAATGATGTGTTTCCCACCCTTTAAAAGGTTAGTAATCGGCATATTACATCAGTTATTGACAGATTGTGAATAAAATAAGTATTATATCCAGTTACATACGCTAAAGGTATTTTTGGTTGCAAACTAATTAATTTTCAAGGTAACTCTCCTGTGACTAACCCTGTATGCTTCTAGCCTCATTCTTAACTTTATTACTCAATATCTCAAAAACTATGCATCGTAGAGTATTTTAACGTGTTGCACCGTGTTCAGCGGGTAATTTTACGTCTAAAAAAACATATTTCAAGCGTTTTTAAACTTGACCCAATAATGTTTTGTGCACTCAACTAATTTCAGTAGATAAAGTAGTCTTTTATCGTCTAGTGAAATAAAGTAATTTTTATCTACTGTTTATATTCAAGAAATTCTGGTAGCTGAGTACAAAATTAAACGAAATATTATACATAGATTGTTTATGTACTCGTGAAATAAGTCCACACGTGACTTCGTCATCGTAAACTTAACCTTTTCACTCGTAGATAAACAATTTCTTTATCGTCTTGTATAATAAATAACTATTATTTATTTATTATTATTTTTTAAGAAATATGAAAATCAAACCTTTATATTTTTTATTTGAGTTTATTTCACTCCTTCTCTACAGTCAAGACGACCAGCAGGATATCGCAATGACTTTATGTGGGAAGTCATATAGTGGATGATGAAATGGATGACTATTACATCCGAATAATCCTAGACTTAATCCCCCACATGATATTCAAACTGGTGGATCATGTTATCCACCAGAATGAGCCAAGCCCCAGACCGTAGAAACAATGCCAATTTCAGGGAAATTTGTGTGCTCCAAATGTAAAGGAGAAACGAAGATTGAAGGAAGAAATTGTCTGATCTGTGAAATAGAAGATTTTTTTTTAGCCTTAGGATAAAAATATAAATAAACTTTTATTTAAAATTTACTTGTCTTATTTAATTAATATAGTATATTTTTGTTTCTGAGTTCTGTGATGTAACACATACATCTACCTTATTTTTAAAAAGATATCGAACTAACTAAATTTTGAAAAATGTATTTTTTTGTAGCCTTGGAAATGTTTTTATCTATTGTTAGCTCTTTGCTGCCTAAATTTTGACCAAAAAATAGGTAAACTGCTTCCCATATTTCGACGTACTGTGCTAAACCATTCTGAAAAAGTTTAGCTGTATCTATACTTTCTAGCGACCCTGTATAAAATATGTCAAACTAAAGCAATGTTTAAAGTGTTGTTAGTGCATTTTTTCAAATGGCGCAGATGTTTTTTGCGAATTTTGTGTGTCCAAGGGCGAGCTGTCGAAAGCCGCGGTTTTTTACCATCGAATGGTAAGTCGTAAAGTGTCGTTTAGGACTTCAAAAGCCCCATATAAAAGAAGTTTAACCAAGAAATGTGTAGTTTGAGATTACCTCTCAGAATAATTGATAGATATTACCATTTAGTTAAAAAATAAACAGGGTCGCTAAAAAGTATGGATACAGATAAATATTATAAAAACTGTTCATTAAAACTTATTGAAATTTGGTATATGCTTCAGAATATTTAAATTCCATCGTCTCAGATGTTTATTAAACTTCTATCTCCATTTGTTCTGGGGATACAGGGTTAACTTGTTTTTTTTAATGTTAAGAAGGGTCAAATTTAATGTTTTTAAGAAGAGCATTTTTTCTGAGTTCTGTGATGTAATACATGGAACCTCATTTTCAAAAAAAATTATCCAACTAATTAAATTTTGAAAAAATTATTTTTTGTTAACCTTAGAAATGTTGTCTTTATTTATCGTTATCTCTTTATCGCTTGAACTTTGACCAAAAAATAAATAAACTACTTCCCAAATTTTAACGTACTCTGCTAAATCGTTCTGAAAATATTTAGCTGTATCCAAACTTTTTAGTGACCCTGTATTATGTAGATTAAGTACTCATTGAACTAAAAAATTATAGAATTCAAATCCATTGAGCTACCTAAAATAGAATGTATACCCATTCACGTCTAATTGACATTTTATTAAATGAAAAGGAATAAAAAGATAAGTTTTTAGACAAATCCGACAAAATTGCTTGATTTTTTGGACCCAAAAAAAGTAGTACGGCGGAGTAAAAATGAGGGCGCTTAGAGCGTTTTACCGTCTTAGTTTCAAATCATTTTCAATTAATTTAAATTCAACCAGTTTACTAATTGCTTGGAAAAAAAATGCAAAAATGTTGAGCTTTATATTCTTAATAAGCTGTGAAAAACAAACGACTAAATTTTGCATGAGAAATATGAGAAAAAAAATATTTAAAATATAAAATCTGTGCTCCGTTTCATGTTTTGCAAAATGCTGCGAATACGGTTAAAGATACAAGAAAAATGTAAGAAAAAAAGTTGTAGAAAATAAAATTTTCTAGTGACACCTCTATCTTTAATGGGTTAGGCCTCAAAGACGTCCAAAGCTGCTCAAGCGACGGATTCGTTTCATTTTTACTGGTGATTGAGTGCCGGGGGAACACTTTAAAGCAATTTGATAGTTTAATAATCACTTTGTTTCCCACCATCTTCATTATTTGTCAATGTTGAAACATACTGAACGAGCTTTTTGCGTGTATACTTCAAGTTCTTCTTCCAGTAACATATCAAACGAGTATGTACAATAATTAAAAAGGGCGGACAAAGCTTGTTGTCGGTAAAGCCGGACAAGTGTGCTATTCTTCAAACTAAGTCTTGGTAATTAGGTTTTTAAATAAAAGTTTGGTGTGACGAGCTAATCGTGTTTTTATTCATCGTTTCCATACCAAGAAGTTCCAAGAAGAAGAAATTTAATTAGTAGTTTTATTAATTAAAAAAATATAAAACAGTTATTTGTACGCATATGTAATAATAAATTTAGTTTTAGGTCATTAGTACGCCATGATTTGCTCCATTATCTTTTACACTCTGATCTTCCAAACTTACATTGTTGTATTCGTTACATTTACATGAAAAACATAGTCTTAAAAACATATTATAATCACTATCATAAAAATAAACATAGATTAAATTAATTATAGGAGTTGAAAAAACCAATAAACATGAAATTGCAAGAGCAACTTGATGATCTTCGTAATCAAACACCGTTTGACATATAAATATTATTAGAGCAGAACACGACAATACAACGAAAATATTTGACACCACTAAACCAATATTACTCGACTTGTAATTAGTTAACCTTCTTTTCCTAATTGCATGTATAATGTTAATAATAACTAAAAATAAAACCAAGAGAGCTGTGACAGATATCGTAATATACAAAATAAAAAAATTCAAATACTCATATGATATACAATATGGTATCGTAACAAAAGAAGCCAATGTAGTAAACATATAAATTCCAATAAGAACATATTTACTACAGCGGCCAAAACTTTGATACTTGTTGTTATAATAAATTTTAATGTAACTATCGCAGATTAGAAGACATAAAATTGCGAATTTACCGTACAAGGCACTGATTAGAATTTGGTAAAAAGCACAAAAGACACGAACATCAACGCCGTCTGTTGCATGTGCTATCAAAAGTTGAAGTAGCGTTGAAGATGTAGCAATCAAAATTACAATTTGGAAAATATTCAGATGTAGGAAGATTGTATTTGTTGTTTCTTCTCGCAGTTTTTTAAATTTAACAATGATGAAAATAAAGAAGGCGTTGGCTACTGTAGACAACAAACCCATCACGATGAGCGACCCGAGAAAAACACTTTCGCTGTCCATCTAAAAACCCATTTTTTAGTATAAATTAAATACAGTTGAAACTCACCGTATGTAGATATTGTATAATAGGTACAAGTTTAAATTACTAAATAGATTTACAGTAGAGTTTTTACAGAGAAATTTATAAACACATTTACGCTCTGATGTTTTGTCTGGTAACTGACAATAATAACTGGCCCTGACTATTTACATTTTCAACGTGGTCACATAAAGAGTGGGGAATACTGCGAATCAATATAAGGATATTGTGATCTGATGTTGACTGCCTTTTATTATCAGTATTTCATAAAATTAAATGACAAATAACTAAATGTATTTTAAGCAACGTAATACTTATTATTATAATCTTTATAAATGGTAAAATCTTTTCGACCGTATTTAACAAGAATAGTAGAAAAAATATAAAACGATTTCATTAATATTTTTATTAAACAAAAAAGTATAAAAACTGGTACTCTTAATATTAAATTTAGCTTTGGGTAATTAGCACACCATTTTGTTCATTAAATGTTACAGACTGATCTTCTAAATTTACATTTTCGTATTCCCTACATCTACAATTAAAAGTTACTTTTAAGAACACATTATAATCATTGTCATAAACATAAACATAGATTAAGTTAATTATGGGATTTGAGAAAGTCAACACAAACAAAATAAGAAGCAAAATATAAGTAATTGGAGCTACTTGTATATAATAAAGCAATTCTAGACATAAATATAATATTAAAGTTGAACATGCCGCTAGCAGGAAAATATTTGGTACAACTAGTCCAATATTACTCGATTTGTAATTAGTTAATCTTCTTTTCCTAATGGCATGAACAATATTAATAATAATTAAAAATAACACTAAAATAGCTGTAACCCCTATCGAAATAAACAAAATAAACAAAGGCATATATTGATTTGACATGCATATAGGTACTGTAAAGAAAGGAGCACATACTGTTAAAATACAAGTTAGAATAAGAACAAATTTACAAAAGAGGCCAAAATTTTTATACTTGTTTTTATAATAAATTTTGATGTAAATATCACATATTAGAAGAAATAAAATTATCAATATGGCAAATATTGCACTGATGTCAATTAGGAAAAAAGTACAAAACAAACGAAAATTTTGTGAGTCGAAAAATTTTGGTATGAAAAACGTACAAAGCAAAATCACGCCTTCCAAAATATTGAAAAGTAGGAAGATTAAATTACTAGTGTCTTCTCGCAGTTTTCTGTATTTAAGAATGACAAAAATAAGCAAGGCGTTGGCTAGTAAAGAGAACGAAGACACCACTGTGAGCGACTCGAAAAAAAATGCCTCTGTATAAATCCTAGAGTCCTCCATCTGAAAAGATGATTTTTTAATGTAAATAGAGTACCTAAAGTTGTAACTTACCGTAAGGTGCTGCGCACATTTTATATAACTACGGGCCAATACAAGTTCTACAGACCAGAGACAACTACAGACGTAGAAAAACATTTATAAATAAGGCATGCTTTGAAATGCGCACAAGGATTCAAGTTTCAGAATTCTGGTGAGTCACTTCGCCAACTGAGGTCAACGCGTGTTGTGTTGTGGCGGCCGAGGGCCGATTCAAAAATGTACAGTGATGGACAGTGAATTTCGTCCACCCAATTTCCCTGACAGATTAAAAGTGTAAATTAGTCTTTAGGTTTTCCTAACCTTGTTTCATAATTTTGATTAACGTTTGTCATGTTGACAGAATGCTTGATGCTTCAGACAACATACCGTCTTCAAAATAGTTGTATATTTGTCGCAATAACAATGTTATTAATTTTTGTACTCGTTGCATGCGATTAATTAATAGAAACTTGCTTGTTGCTGCAAATCCATTCGACTGGCAGGATGTTACATTTTTTTAAATTGTTTCGTTTGAATAAAGAAGCGGCTCAGTGTATAATTAATGAAATTTAGCTTCATGTAAACGCCGGCTGCTATGCTACGGCCATGCTGCTATATCTAACCATCTTAAAGGACTTTGCGCTCTACATTTTTTTGGTCATGGGAGTTATCAACTTGATGCAGGCAGTGGTGGCAATTTTGGACTAAGTTAACCTTCGGTCTGTAGGTGTATTTTCCAGGTTACTAAAATCGTATCGGCGCATTTAATAAACCTTTGCATAAAATTTCCTCAAACAGATTAAGAAATAAATAATAAAAAACGATTATTTATTCAAAAATATGACGGCACACATGTAACAATTTGAACAGGGGAATTATGCGCAAGACAAGACTGACAAGACGTCAACTTTACTTTTGTCAGTTGCCGTCTAGATATTTAATTTAAATTGTCGCGTTTAATAGCTTTTCAAAAGATGAATATCAACACAAAAGTAAAAAACAATTAATAATATTGTAGTTTTGATGTTTAAAAGTATTTATATAGTGTCAATGAAGTTAAATTAGCTATTTTCAAAAGTATTGCGATGTGGCAACAGTGCTCCTTTTAACAGCCTTGTTATAAAAATTACTATAACAGAAGTGTTAAAATTATTGTGTAGTGAATAAGAATTTGTGTTAAATTTTTAACAGGCATGTTATAATTTAACATTTAACAGGACTGTTATTTTTAACACAAAAAGTACAGAATAGGCGTCTGAAAGATAATACAAACACGTGATTGCATCATAAGATAGTACAGTGATGCGTGATGGACAGTGACATTACATTTCAGAGATAACGTGGATATTAAAATATGTAGTTTTAATAAATTAAAGACAGTGACCAAACAGCACTTCAACTTTAATTTGTAAAATGTCAAACTTTGGAGAATTTGGTGAGAATTACTAAAATATTGCCGAAAAGACCAACAAGATTCTCATTTATGAAGAATGTTTGAAAAACACTTCGCAGACTGCACGTTTCTATCCAGCGTTATATCCAAATAGAAAAAAAATTGACAAAAATAAAAATACGATTACTATGTTTAACTAAATAAAACGAAATATTTATATAATATCCACGTTATCTATGAAATGTAATGTTGGTTGCTTAAAAAAAAAATTCAGGCTCATTATTACTCGTGGGACATCCTGTATACTAATAACCACTATCACAAAAATAAACTGAGTAAATTAATTATAAGACAAGCACAGCAGTTGTTAGAGTGGGACACCACATATAAGGGAGAAAATATTTGGCACCACTAACCCAATATAGCTCGAGTTGTATTTTATAAACTTTCTTTTCTAAATTGCATGTGTAATATTAATAATAATTAAAAATTATGTCACAGTATGTATGTATGTACCAACTATTATAATAAATTAATGAAACAAAATACTCATCTGATACACAATATGGTACCAAAATGAAAGAAATGCATACGGCGGGTAAAATACAAATTCCAATAAAGGCGAATTTACAAAAAAAAGAAAATTTTGTAGTTGTTTTTGTAATAAATTTTGATAAAACTATCAGACTAGGAGAAATGAAATTCCAAAAATGCCTCAGACAATAACATAAATTTTGACTGTGTGAGTTTTACTCGGGAGCAAAGCCCCCAATAATTGTCACAAAATATTTGGGAATCAGATAGCGTGAGCTCTATAAGGGGGCGAGCGGCAAAGCCGCGAACTCCCTATAAATTTCGACAAAATCTGTTATTGTAATTTTAACAAAACATTTGCGAATTAGTTAGTATGAGGTCTAAAAGGGAGCTTTGTCGCTCGCCCCTTCTAATTTCTACACATTTTCAAATCCGACAGGATTTGATATGAGTTTCTAGTACAGTGACGGACAGTGAATTTCGGTCGCTCTATTTTCATAATGGACTAAAAGGGTAAATTAGTTTTTAGGTTTTTATAACCTTGTTTCAGAATTAACGTTTATTATGTTGACGGAATGCTCGAGCTTAATTTTTTTACCTGGGCTTTATCTTACGAGTATATTGCTTGAGGTATAGTAGGGTGGACTGGGTACGGTTGAAACAAAGGACGGTTGAAATAGGACTAAATATTTCTGATACCGTTTGAGGTAAGAAAGGGGTGCAAGGGCCAAACGAAGCGGACAACAAGTCCGAACACAAACTTGAGTGTTGCGTTGTTTTGTAAGAGGCCAAATTGTGTTTTGTTATGCAAAAGTAGGGACGCAGCACAAAACAGAATAGGTACAGTTGGAGACAAAATACTTTGGTCGTCAATGTCACTTGAGTGACATTAAATTGTAAAACATGCTTTAGAACTGTTAACCTTATTTTTAGCTGTCAATCATAGTTGACAAGTTGTATGTACATATTTCTGATAGGAAAATATAATAGCTGTCATTAATTTGAAATTGTCTTTGTCTCCAACTGTACCTACATATTATAATTTTTTTGTTTATATTTCTATAACTTTAGTTCTTGTTTTTTTTTTATTTTATACTTCAATCTTCAGTTTTTAAAGTTCATTTAAATATTGAATGTTATTTTAATCCTGAAGAGTGGGAAGAAATAGAGTTAGAGAACTTATCGCCACCAGCAGAGAAGGAGATAAACAAGGAAAAAGAATAACAATCATTTTTGATAAAACCACCACATGCAGTGAAGAAACTCCCCCTTATCAGGCAAGAGACTTGCTCCTCTTCTGATGAGGATAATTGGGATTTATATCTTGGGAACGAAACCCAGACTAGATTATTAAACTGATTTTTCATCACACTGCCTTGAAAACTATTACTTCTTATCCCTTTCCTTATACACTATTTACAATTGACCATTTTGGGTTGTGGCGTTGTCAAAAAAATTCAAGTACACTGGGGGACACGGAAAACTGGGCAGATGTGTCATTCAGTTGTCAAAATTTCTAAACTATACTTTAGGTACTCATAACCAAGCTTTTAATATTTGGCATATTTGTTTTTTTGATACTGACAAAGTCGAAGTTTTTGGAATCCCCAAAGTCACTGAGACTTGCCGCTGCGACATCCCGCTTAGAATAAGAGCTATTGCGCGAGTTTTATTAAAAACTGATACAGCTGGCATTTTGCAAAAATTGATGTATGTCAAAATTAATTTGACAATTTTTTTTAATATTAATCATAATGACGGTAAAGGTGCATTTAAACTGACATTTTTTGAAATGACAAGAAAGGACTGCCCAGGATTTCGTGAAGGATTGCTCAGGCTCACGAATCTGTCAGCCGGCGTCACGTGGTCCATAGACATGCTGTGACGTCACAACTGGCCTTTAATCGCGTCAAATACATGGGAGTTAATAGGAGCAAATACCAAATAATGCAAATAAAAGTGAATTATGACTTTAATTTGTTAAAATCGCTTTTGAATTTATAATGAAATTATTGTAGTTATAATTTAAGGTAATACAAAATAGAATTTTCTGTTTATTTGTGTCCAAAAATTGAGTAAATCTGTTTTCTAATCGGGGTAATCAGACGCAATAATTCCAATAATTCATTGTTCTGTATTTTAATGATATATAAGACATTCAGAATAGGAACAAATTTTGTACTTTTTATATTGACGGGTATTCTTTACGTTTTAAAATGCTCAAACAAAAATGATTTAATAAATAAATTTCCATTGAAATTTTTTGGTCACAAAGTCGTGAAAATATCAATAATATTCCTAGGTATACATACAAAATAGAAACGGGTTTTATTTTTGACAATTTTATATGCAATAAATTTTGTTGATAAATAATAATACAAATTCTACTAATGGATAATAGGTAAAAAAATGTAAAACAAAATAAACCATTTTTATAATAATGAAGAAAGAAGAAGAAAGAAATGAGCAAAACGACTTACAACACAATATAAATTTTATTTCTTCAAATAAAAACATTTGGTAGCTGCACTAAACTTGAATTTTGAAACCAGCGTAGGTACAATCAAAATTCAGTTAAATGATATCCCAAAAATTAAACAAAGATTAAATTAATAATATTTGCTTTCTCTATTTGTCCACATGACTTAGAGATTATAAAAATAATACTATAGTAAAAAATAATTTTGTAATTCTAAAATTATTGAAAAATAAAGAAAAAAAAAAGAAATCACATAAATTAAAAATCAATTAACAATTTTACAACACCCCACGTTTATAATTTTAATACAAACAATACAGAATTTCTGGGGGTTACAAGATCAAAAATATGCTTGGGAAATTATACTGAAACACATTGTATCTGGTGTAATGTTAGCGATGCAAGTTTATAAAATATGCATCTACTTATAATACATTCATTTCTGTTTTAGATCAGAATAGGCTATGGAAATTTGGCGA